TGCGGCTTGATCAAAGGACAAATTTGTCCGCCGCTTGCTCTTAATGGAGCTTAATGATGGTGCGTTCTAACTGAAAACTCCTTCCTGCGATGTGAGTGGAGAGGGGTTGGAGGTGTGCTGCTGGAGGAGAGCGGAGGATTCAGAATAGCGGAGGTGTCACCAAACAGCAGTTTCTTTTGGTTTCATGTTGGTGCTCAAGGGCGACACCTACTGGATCAAATAGTCACACCTTCTTCCTTTAAACAGTAATGTAGCAGCTCCCCTTCACAGTAAATATAACTTCTCTTGATCTACATGTTCTGTTGCATGTGTCTCTGCTTTTTCCCTCTCCTTGACACAGACACTGTTAACAATGCATTAAATTAAATTCTATTCAGTGAGGTGTTGCTCTTCATCATCTCACATACAGACTGTCAGCTGGCTTCTTCTGCGGATGTCCTCTGTTTTGTCTCCAAGCTTGTTTGTCTGTATTTCTTTTGATTAACGACCGTTTGGGTTGGTGGGTTTATGCCCTTTTTGTGTCTTCTGTGTGTTATCTTAATAACATACATTTTAGTATTTCTTTATTTTATGATCGTGGAGACATTTTCTGACATATTTTGCGATCATGTCTGCCAATGTGCTCTTCACTGTAAAATAAAATAAAATGCAAAAGTCCATATACTGAATTGTAGTTCCTTCTGCATTCAATGGTCGTTGCTTCAGTGATATATGTCATGATGTGGTCGGATCAATGGAGGCAGCAAAGCAGAAAATGACAATGCAGAAATGAACAGCCCCCCCTCCCCCCCCGCCCCCCTCCCTCCCTCCACGCGGGCTGCTTGTGATGCGGTACCTGTTGGGTGCTGGAGGCAGTGTGTCTGGAGGTGGTGGACATGGTGCGGGGGCTTTTGATGCGCTGCGTCCCGAGTTATTATCAATGGAACCGATCCTGGAAATGGACAGCAACATGCAACACGATGATGACTCACAGCTACAGCGACTCTTTATTGGCTGCTGGTGTCAGACGCAAACCAATCAGAGCCAGGACAACCTAAACCCTGCTTAATGATGTTTTGGAACAAATCATTGTTTACTTTATTCTTTAAAATGCTGTGTTACGTGTGTCTGAAATGTTTGATTCTGTAAACTCTTTTTATCTCTGAGCATTGCTTCTTCATCTTGAGGAAGACAGTGTAGGTGAAATAATGGTACAAGATGCCACCTGCTGGCCAAACAGGTGAACTGAAGGTGTTACTTTAGATCCACTCTTTCTAAAGCTCTGCTATTTATTTCAAATGTGCATCTAAAGACGTGCTGAAAGTGGATGGAGTTAATTAAAAATTAAGAGTTTGATGATATCTTGAGGGCAAGGACAGACATGTAAAAGAGTTTTGATTAAAACAAGGTTTGGAGTTATAGTTTAAAGAAATGTGTTGCAGCCATGATAGAAACACTGCAGCTTAAAATAAACCCTCTGTTGTCATAATGAGCACATACTGGTTCTTTATGTGTGCCTGGTTGTGTTTAATACCTTACATTGTTTGAGTGAAACACTTCTTCTGGGACAATAGTTGTAAAATTTGAAAGGGACTGAATTTTGGATCAACAGAAATAAAACCCCAAACAGAATTTGCTGCAGAACTGTTTCTCACACACCTCCTGTCTCCTGCTGGCCGGCCGGGCTTGCTGCTGTCCGCTGTGGCCTGCTGTTGCTTCTTCACCGGAGTCGAGGTTTTGGTCGCCGCCTGGGGAAGTTTTTGTCCGTTCTGCAAACTGTGAGACAACGTTTCTGCTTGACTGACGCTCTGACTCACCGAGCTGAGGAAACCAAAAAAAAAATATCAAGATAAATTCTTCTTGTTTATTTTTGTACCACTACATAATCTCAACTGAGAAATAACAGTGCTGATAGTGATGGTATTCGAGCAAGAATACAGGCCTTAGTTAAAAGTGTCAGACGTACAGCAATCTGAACAGAGTATGGTGAAAACACATGATGCACCACGTCACTGATTCCTGATGTTATGATAGGGGGAGGCAGCAAGGCTAAATTAAACCAAGCCACAGTGTTTTGCACTACCTGTGAGCAAAGCATGGCTCATTTTTTGAATCATAAGGCTGACAATGAATCTGCCCCAGACGTCATAACTACTAAAACAAAGATAAGAAAATATGACGAGTCACATCTCGCCTTCAGCTTAACCTGTGAGCAACGGTGAGTAATAAAGAGAGACGCACTCCTTCCTACATGTCTGAGAAAAAAAACCTGTCCAGTTTTTCTGGAGTCTACTCAATCAACACAAAATACAGATCAAAGCTGGACATTGAAAATGAAGTAAGCCACATATTTTTAGTGAGTTGTTCATCTTCAGAGAGTCAGGTTTAAAAAAAAAAAAAATGTTTTAAGTAATGACTGTAACATCTTAAAAAAGTGGACGTTTCATGTTTCAGTATCACTTTTAATTGCTTCCTATGAAAAAGCTGCTTGTTAGTTATTTCAGTTTGTTGTCACACTGAAGTTTCTTTTCTGTAACATTTGAGGATCATTTCAAGTTAAATTCTGAAATATAGGAATTTGTTAGCAAAGAGCGTTTATCGATATATGTTCATGTACGATGTGTATGGTAAGGCGTGGAAATATTTGTATCTGCCAAAGGGGGGCGGCAGGAAGCAAAGTCCCTGATCATGTGACAGCTGATGCTAATTTAACACTCAAATGTGTGTGTGTGTGTGTGTGTGTGTGTGTGTGTGTGTGTGCGTTTGTGTGACCATTAAACCAGACCATGATATATATTTTTAAGCTTTCAAGCAGCAGTTTTTGAGATAGTTCACAAACCTTCTGGCTGTTTTCATGCTGTCATCTGCAGTGCTGATGTCACTGGTCCTGTCGTTTTCTCTCCTTTTCCACTCCACACTCTCTGTGCTCCCCTTCTGTGCAGCCCAATCACAAACAGAGGGACAGTAAGCTGAACGACCAAATAAAACAGAAAAAAACCCACTGTGCCCACCTCCAACAGTTTGTCACACAGAGAGACCCTCACGAGCAGAAATGCAACAAACAATCTCAAATCATTGAATAAGACATTCACCGACTGCCTCTCCAGCAGCTCCTGCTTGCGTTCCCAGTCGGCCAGCGAGCGGACGATGGTGTCCTGGGGGGCCGGGGTGAAGGAGACCTCGCCTCGGCTGGGGGAGGGCAGGGCTGAGGAGCGGGGAGTCAGAGGGGTCACGGTTTCCTCCAGTATCCTACGCTCCTGTTGTAACAGAAGAGCTGGGTCAAGTTATCCACAGCAAGAGTACAATCATGGGTAAGATAATCAGACAAAAAAAACCACTTTTGTCTTCAAAATCACATTTAATGAACCTCATCACATATAACAATAAAAACGTTCAGATATTCTGTCTGACTTGGTCACAAGACACCAAAGAAATGCTTATCAGGTGCAACATGTGCCACACACCTCCTCGTGATACTTCCTCTCCTCCTCCGCCACCTCTCTCTGTGCTCTCTCCCACTCCTCCTTCAGCTTCTCCTGCTCGCGCCGGTACTTCTCCTGTTACCACGGCAACAGACACATGACATACAGCACAGAGCCTCAAACGAAAGGAAGAAAGACTGAGGCTATGTTTTGGCAGGAAAACAGAGATGATGCACATGACATATCTGAGTCGCTTTTCAAAAGGTTTCCAGTGTGATTACACAATCTGTCAGTAGTGCATGCAGCTTTACCTGATCCTAACTGACTTTAAACACTGCTGTAATTACTGGTAAACTCTATAATATGACCATGTTGGATGGCCTCAGTATCTACTTAACTAACAGAGCTGAATGAATGAATCGGTTTCTTTGCTTTTTCTCTGGTAAGGCTAAACACTGGCTAAGATCTGATACTTGTGTGTAAGGGCTACACAGTCAGCAGAAGCAAGAGAACAAGGCACTTTGGACAAAAGGCAAAATTAGAGCATGCAGAGTCTGTGGAGCACAGGGTTCCTACACAGTCTTCACACAAAGCTTCCCATGATGTTTCAAAAATATTAGAGTGTCTTTGAGGTACATGACTAAAATGGTACCTGGGAATCAAACAACATCCTGCTGATTTTTAACATTTTTCTAGATACACACAAGTTTCAGAATGTGTAGGAACCCCCCAAAAAAGACGGCCAAATGTATTGCTCCAGGATGTCGGGAGGAAGCAATTAAAGCAAGCCAGAAGAGAGAAAAAGGATCGCGGCACAGCGACGAAAACAGAAACATACAGGGAGGTGACGACAAGCACTTTGATGCACCAGACATTCATCCACTTCATCTCAAACAGTCCTGCAACAACCAGCAAGCACAGGAATCTGCTCTTATTGCTGTTGTTTGGAAGATATATTCATCAAGATAACACTGCAGGTAAGAACAGTGCATCATAGACACCAATGAATACTTTTTAACGTCATAAAAATATGTGGACCTGAGATGAACCACTGATCTGATTGGCCGAGGAGAGAGAGGGTGTTTTTTTGGGCAGCAGCAACAGCAGCAACTTTGGACGAAGCCGTTGTGTGAGCATATGTGTGTGTTTGTGTGTGTGTGTGTGTGTGTGTGTGTGTGTGTGTGTGTGTGTGTGTGTGTGTGTGGTTAATATGGAAACTGTGAGCTGAGGAAAACAACAACAACACAGTGGAGGTTCTTCAGCTGCACAAAATCGCCCTCTAGTGGTTAGCTTGTGCACAGGAGTAGTGATGATGTGTGCTTTCAGGGGGAGGATATGCTCAATATCATAACAAACATGGAGGCAAGCTTTGCAAGTAGGAATGAGAGGTGGTTCACCGACCTGACTCCTAGCTCGGCACTAGCTCAAACAAAGCTGCTTTTGTCACTGACACATGGTTTTGAATCCACTTAAACTGTGAGTATCACATATTGTGGTTTATAATCTGGAGTAAAACTGGGCTGGATTTGTAAAGAAGGTGAAATATTTCCAAACAACTTTTCCCTTTCTTGAGCTTCCTTTGCAAACAACATGTTTAACCAGACATCTTGATCTTTAAACTATGCATGCAGTGTCTGACTGCTGCAGCACTTGCTGTTGAGTTGTAGATTTAAGGAAAGTTAAGAAACTAAAGTTTAAAAACTAGTTAAAAAAAATAACAGACACAGAGCCTCTTTGTCTCGTCCTGTTGTTTGTAAAGCTATACATTTACCATTTACTTGATTTTCTAGCCAACCAATTAAAAACTTTTCATTTGAACAAAATCTGCATCTTTTCCTCTGATGAGTTTCACTCCCTAAAGTTGTCAATGATCATGTTATAGCTAAATTTATTGTGCAAATGGACTAGTGAAGCTATATTTGCTAATTGCAAAGCTCCATAGCTGAACTTGGAGGTCAGCTATGTGTTCAATAAACAAAAACAAATGAAAATAATATTAAGCTTGCTTCAAATTCCTTATGTTTTCCTGTTGGTATAGTTTGAACAAGTTAATCTTTTCCATTATTTCTTCCTTCACTTGATTCAAATGCTCTGAGGAAAAGGTGACACTGTCGTCTGATCCTCACAGGTCTGGTGCCTTGCTCATACCTCTATGATGCATAAGGAATTGAACCCCTGACCTTGCAGACTCATGCGCCATGCTCTACCCTTGAGGTAAACTGTGTACCTGCAGCATGCGCTCCTGCTCTTGCTGCCACCTTTGCTGACGCTTTCGCTCCTCATCCGGGTCCCAAGACCAGCGGTCAGGCCGCCTGGCCTGGGGCAACACCGGTTCTGACACCTGATAGACACCAACAACACACAAACACACACACACACACACACACACACACACACACACACACGTCAACATGCACAAATACACGTGGCGCAGAGATATTCATGCGCACATCCACACGCCCACAAAACGACGGCCATTGGCACACAGACGCAGTGTCACCCAACCACAGAGCCGATGTGATCCCACACACATCAACACCAATGTGCACACACATCCACCACAGGAAAAAGAAGAAGGGAAGGGAGGAGACAGAAATAGTTGGTCTACCACAACAGCACTACTCCAATGCTAGCCAAAGGACTCCTACTAAGGAGAGAGAAGACAGAGAGAGAGACAGATGAGCTTTAAAAGGAAAACAAACGCAGTCTCGGCCGTTCAACAGCGTCCTCATCTGGCATGCTACACAAACAGCTCAGTGTGTCCAATGAGATGGAGGAGAGCTTTGCAGAATGGACACTGGGTTTAAAATTGAAAAGCAAATATCTGATCTTTGAAAAAGATGATTTTATTTATTATTTTTTCATGGGATTGTGAGAAATGATCAGCCGACTAAATGTGTCTAATGTATTGGATGTTGCATGTTGGGTGCTATACAGTGACAATGATTTAAGATAGGTTAGGTTTCATTTAGATGCATATCATTTGTATTATATTTCATTATTCGTCTTCTCTTTATCCCTGTCTTAATGAAGTGATTCAAACTCAAATACTGTAACCCAGGACGTGACGAGCCAGATGAGAAACAGTAAAAAGGTTTTTCATGAAGCTTTGTACTCACGTTTCCACGACTATCCTTCTCCGTCCCTTCTGCAGAGCAAGTGTGGGAGAAGAGAAGTTAAAACACAATCACAACAACAGTTTTGCAAACATGTGATTCAAATAAAAAAAAAGCCTTTTGAAGCAGAAAACCTTAAAGGTTGTGCCAAGCATTATTTTGACAAGCTAAGGAGTTAAAGATGCAGATGAAAGACAACAGGAAACCAGTCCATGTTTACTGGATCAGATATTTATTATTTGATAAATCACTCAGGGTTGGAGACATGCAGATGTTGATCTAACATTACAGCTTCTGGTGGACAAGCACGCAATGAAAAGCACACTGAAGCAAACATGAAAAACGTTTTATCTACGAAGTTCAGTTGGTCGGCCATTTTTGATAATTTTCTAAAATAATCATCGGTTACTTCCTTTAAGGGATATTTTTTTAAAAACAACTGGACCGTGCATAATTATCCACTAGGGTTGCAATGGTAAGTCGTTTCTTGTTATACCTTGAGGTGAAAAATTTACAACAATTAAACTATGTTTATACTTTTTTTTTTTAGGAAGAATGTGCAACTTTTTGATCCAGTAGAGGTCGCACTTGAGCACCAGCATGAAAGCAAAACTAACTGCTGTTTGGGGCGCACCTCCGCCACACTGAGGCCTCCGCTCTCCTCCAGCGGCACACCTCCAACCCCTCTCCACTTGATTTCACATGATGGAGTTAAAGAGCCCATATTCTGTCCTTTTTGGGGTTCATATATTTAATCTATGTACTAAAGTATGTTCAGATAAAGTTATAAAAAAGTGTCTGTTTTCATGAACTGCCGCTCCATGCACCGGCTCGCTTCTGACTCTCTAAGGCTCTGAAGCGCCCACGTTCAGAGTCCCCACGTGTGCAAAGTCTGATCTGATTGGTCGGCCTGTCGGCTCTGCCGTAATTGGTCAGTCGCTCAGCCACACTGGCTCCGAGGGCCGGGGAGCAAAAACATTAGCACGTTAGCACTACTGTGCTACCGCAGGCTACGGCATATCGTGGCCGTGCTACAGAAGTTAACGGGCGTGCAACATGAGCTGCAGGGCGCCACAACGAGCCAATGGGCTTAGATCAGTGATCTCACACTGACAAGACGTCACACTGGCAATTTTTTTTCGAGGGGGGCTAGAACCGAGCGTTACATGCAGCTAATGCTAACAGGAGGAGGTAGGAGAAGCCGCGTTTACGCAGACTTTGAATTTTTGCTCATAGACGTTCCTAAACATGCACAGGACACTTGGAAAACACACTAAAGAGCAGATAAAACCAGAATATGGGACCTTTAAGTAAAAGCTGCGGCCAAATTGTCCTTGCCTTGAGCTGCAGTTGTCCTGTAGTCTGCATTGTTGTGTTAGCATGCTAATGTTAGCACACTTTAGTTAGCTTGTAGCTTCACATTGCACATAAATCGACACAGAATGACCAAACAAACAGATCTAAACAAACTTACGTGACATCCAAATAATCAGTGAGTATGTTCTTCTTCTTCTCTCTAGTCTTTGACTTACACAGCTTTTATACACAAGGGGAGGAGCCGGCCGTCCCGTCCATGTAAACATGATGTAAACATGATGTAAACATGACGTAAACATGATGTATACATGACGTAAACATGATGTAAACATGACGTAAACATGACGTAAACATGACGTATACATGACGTAAACATGATGTAAACATGATGTAAACATGATGTAAACATGACGTAAACATGATGTAAACATGATGTAAACATGACGTAAACATGACGTAAACATGATATATACATGACGTAAACATGACGTAAACATGATGTATACATGATGTAAACATGATGTAAACATGATGTATACATGACGTAAACATGATGTAAACATGACGTAAACATGACGTATACATGACGTAAACATGATGTAAACATGATGTAACCATGACGTAAACATGATGTAACCATGATGTAAACATGACGTAAACATGATGTAAACATGATGTAAACACAGCTCTAACAACAACACAGCTGGCAGGACTCGAGCTTCTCACTCACTGTAGACAGTCATGACTCAGAGAGATATTTACAGGATAAACTTGATTTCTGCTTTCTTTATGTGTAACATGTTGCACATTCTTCCTTTAATGATAACAAAAACCTTTAATCTTTTAAACAGTTAACACAAAATGAAAACGTCATACCATTACAACTCTATAATCATCATCTAGATCCTTAAACAATGAAAACACTCAGATGAGTTAAAGACTTCACAAACATTTAAGATCATCAACCAGACACAAGAGAGATGAGTAAAGAGGAGGCAATGGGACTACGGGGCCCCTGAAGAAACAGCAGGGAAACCCTGTGCATTCAGCACCCAGGGGATGGAACATGATCTCCACCGAGGAAAGAAAGGTGTTTACCTGGCGGAGCGAAGAACTCCCAGCGTAACTTAGGGTTGCTGGTTGCCAGCGGAGACCTGACACTGTTTTCAAACTCTACAGCGAAATAAAAAAATATGTGGGTGGAGGGAGGGGAGGGAATAAGGGAAGGAAGGGAGGGCGGGAGAGAACCGATAAGGGGTAAATAAATGTCAAAACCAGGGGGGTTGGTTTGGGCATCAAGAGAATTGGGGAGGGTTTTTATATTTCAGCTCCTGTATCGCTGAAGGCTTTACCAATTTCCTTTTTAAGATGTTTAAATAAACATTTGGCACAATTCTGTACATGTCTACATTCTGAAAAAGGCCTTTTAAATCAACCTCAATCTGTTGAGCTGAACAGATAAAAAAAAAAAAGGGAAGCAGGTGTTTGTGTCATTTGCAGAATATGTTGCTTATTGTCACAACAAAACAGAACCAAGTTAAAGCTGAAAAAGCAAAATGGAAATATTGGCCAAGGAGGAAATGCTAATCAAACTAAGAAAACCAGGAGATGTATGGAAAAGAAGCGTGCTGTGCTGGTGTTAGAATGGAAGGATTTCACTGACCTGCTGACGTTTCCTTTGGTGGGTGGTGGTATCCGAACGATCCCGGTGACGCCAGGCTTGGTAGGTCCTCTCTTCTCTGTGAAGACTCCTGTGAACTGGGAACACTTGCCTGCAGAGAGATTCAAAGATCTGTTGGATGTTTCTTCGTTTAGTGTCAAAAGGACATGTTAGTTTGTTTAGCAGCCTCACCTGTGAAGTGACCGGCTGACTTTGCTGTTTGTTCGGGATGTTTTGACCTGATGCTTCAGTTTTTAATTGTTCTTGTTTGGCTTCTGAAAACACAAATACAACAACATTTTATCACAGCTATTATCACATGAATATCCTTGCTTATTATATTTTTCCTATTCATGTTTTCAAGAGTAAGAGTACAACACTGCATGGTCTGTAATGACAAGAGCAACCACTAGGGGTCAGTATAGCAGCATGCTGTTCATACCTGTAGGTGTTGTTTGCTGAGCTGCAGTGTTGGACTTCTCCAGAGCAGCTACAGGAAGGTTTCCAGTCTTCCCAAAGCTTTCTTCTGGTTTATGCAGCTCCTGTAAAAATCACAGATGGTTTCCAACATGAGTCATGAACTAGACAAGACTGATCAAAAGGCATCTTTAGAGCATGACTCATATGTATTTAGATGAATTCACGCCTTTAAGAGACTACTTCAAACACTCAGATAAGACCTTTGACCTTACTTAAAGGTCTACAAAGCAAATGAAGACATTGAGGTTTGATCACAGCTGTTTAGTTGAATATCATGTTAAGAAGTCAAATAGTTAAAACAGCTCCTGAGAGTCGTGAGACTGAAACTCTGGGTTCCCTAAAAAGCTGATGCAATTTGGAGGGATGCTTTAATTAAGCTCCCTAAATACTGTATCATTGCTGCAAAACCAAAACTAAAATTAAACATTTATTTTTTGTTTTTTCATTCTTATAATCGGATCTGAGTCTTTAAAAAAAGGCAGAAATTATCTTTTTAGCACACCAATAACATCCAAATTGGAATTGTGTTCACTTTATGCACATCTTTAGTTTTTATTTAATAGTTAAAGATTGTAGTCCTGACCGATGGGAGCGAGGTTGGCCGGCTGGGTGATGATGAATGCTCGGTGACTTTGTCTTCCCGGACGTCTTTAGGAGCCGTCTCTGCTCCACTCGGTTCCTCCTTTGCCTTTGTCGAAAGCGGGCTTCCTCCTGCGTTTGAAGCGGGCTGACTGTGCGATGATGGGGCAGCTGGCGATGGAGCGTCCACAGTGATGATATCTGTGTTGGAAGTCGACGCCTGGAAATGAGGAGGAGATTCTCTTCCTTGACTCTCCGGCGAGGTTGGAGCGCTTCCTGCGTCGCCGTTGACTCGAAGCAATCCATCCGCCTGAATCAGAGAAAAGGTTTAACACTGGATCATGTTATCATACATTTAGTATTGGGGTGCATCCAAATTGTCCCTACTGTCTCCTTTCACTATCCACTTTACCTGAAACCCGGGGAAAAGGTCATGAGGTTAAGGAAAGATGTTAGGAGAATTCATAAAGGACTTAAGGAAAGGAGATCTCGTTGCTCTGACAATCCGACCACATTTCCACTAGGCCACGTCATTAAATGCGACGGGCCGGCGGAGGTTAATGACGTGGGTCTGCCGTGTTAAAACTACAATGTTCAGAAAATGGACTACAAAAAACGCATCTAAAAAACTTTCCCCTGTGCCTCCTTACCGGTGAAACAATCCTAATTACCACGAGGTTGGGATTGAAATAAAAGAAATATAGACCACCAGGCTACAAGTAAGAAAAGTGAAACCTTCAGCTTCCTGTCCAATCAGAAATCAACATCAACATAAATATGATTGGATGAAATGAATGTTAAATTTATGCAAGATATACAAAATGTTTTAAGCATACAAATGTACAACTGCACAAAGCATCCTTAAGTGAATGAAATATGTTGAATAAAACATCATCTGATAAAAATGTCTCTTATCTTTTATCTCTTACATGATCTGAGTCACTTTACGATCATCGTTAATGTCCGTGAGCGGTCGGATGCGCGAGTCACTTTAAATGTTGCGGCCGAAAGGAATTGTGGGGCGGCATATCTCATCTCCTTTGGTAAAGGATGGTCCAGTGTATCCTAAAGGAGGTTATAAAGGAAGCACTGACCCACCTTTCCTTAACTTTTAGAGAATTCAAACAGCTCTTATCATGGCCGCTTACATGCTTCCAGGTCATTTCACTCAGTTGACCTTCCTAAGCAAAAATGACAATTCAAACAAACCCTTGGTTTAATAAAGGTGAACACATTCTGCTCTGCATGTTCATCCTGATGAATTAAAATGCGAGCTGTTGAGAAGTTGTAGAAACCGAAAGGTGGCCTGATGGGTCGATTTGTATTTTATTTAATTTGTTGTTGCTTTTTTGTTAAATACAAAGGGATTCTGGATGATCCATGTATTAACTAATGAACACATCTGTATCAGTGCTTCATTTTGTGTCTATTATTAGTTAAAAAACTGTCACTCTTGTGGTTTAGGGTTAGCTGAGAAAGCATAGATTGAGTTCTGTTGCTCAGACTATTTTTCAGCAGTAAATTTGATGTTGACGGACCGAAAAATGACAGTAAACTCCATGGCGGTAAACTCAGTGCCCTCATTTGGCGGTCATTATCAGCCTCTCATCTCTGTTCGTTATTAGCTATTCATCTTGCTCACAACACCATGCTGGCTCTATAACAAAGAGGCACTAATGTATGTGTGAGGAGCTCCTGGTTAGCGGTAACTTAAGACACTGTGATGGAGTTGGGTGAATGCAGGCTCTCAGTCTGCATCCCCGCCGCCTCCACCTTCTCATCCCCTCCCCGAGCAGTCTGTGTGGGCGCTCTTTGTCTGCTGGGAGCCCACTTCACATTGAGAGGACCCTACTTGTCAACTTCTTAAGTCAATAGGGAACAGAGGGAGCCATTCAGAGCCGGGCTCCGCTCAGACTCCTGACAAGACATTCCAGAAAAGCGCTGTGCTCCATTAGGTCCGGTAATAACCTGCCCCCCCTCCCTTCCCCGCCGCACCAAAACACAAGATCTCATTTTGAATATTCCCATTTGGCAAATTTTTTCCAGAAGAAAAAGGAAACGGATTCCTGCTGAGAGTACTTTTTGAGCTAAATTGAAACATTACATGCTTGTTCTGGGAGGGGGAAGTCTTGTGTTTTCCTAGAAACCCGCCGGCTCGTCACCATGGTGGATCTGTGGCATGCTAATGTAACTGCCAAGAGAGCCGGAGGGGGAATTTACCCAACAGCGATGTGAGGAGAGCGGCCAACAGTGGGAAAGTTACCACATGTAAAGTGGTCAAGACCTTAAGCATGCTCGCTGCTGAACTACTGTGGGAACACTGACAAAATGTGTCCAGATATGCTCACCTTTAAATGCCAGAAATCCAGCAAAAGTAAAAATGTTAAACGGATTATTATTAAGGGAGTCTACAAACAATGTGACATCACAGCTGCTACGCCTCCTTCTTGTGCGGCCGGTGGATGTAGTGCAGCTGGAAATAAAACAGGAGCCAATCTGTGTGTGGCATTTGATTAAGCATAATTACAGCAGCAATAACGCTGCTGTAATTAAGACAAGCGCTCTCCAGTCTTCTCACCTTGCTTGGCCATGGCTCTGCCGCTGTGGGTCGGGACTGGAAGTAAGGCTTGGGCGTCAGCAAAGGCACTGGTTTTGGCGACAGGCCTCGGGTGGAGGGCGGCTCGGACGAGCGAGAACGGATCTGAGGCCGCTGGTGCGACGAGTCTTTGGGAAACTCCTCGATGCGCGCCTCCAGCGTAGAGGTGAACTTTGGAGCCGGGGCGGACTGCTGCCGCAGATATTTCATGGGTCCGTTGGGGTCCGCGTCGAAGGGGTCCGGAGTCATCGGGGAGGGGGACAGGGAGAGAGGGAAGGGCGAGCCGGGATAGGAGGGGTCAGCGGATATGCTGCGGTCCAGCAGCTTGGGCAGCTGGAGGCGCTCCAGCACGGCGTCGCTGATGGAGAAACGCTGAGCGTAACGCTGGAGGATGGAGGACGCCTCCTCCGGGGTTCTGGCTCTTCTGTAGGCGTTACGCAGATCCTCCTCTCGACGCTCCCTGTTCAGGAGGGAACGAGGTGAAGGAGTGTTAAAACAAAACTGATATGATTTACACTCCTCACAACTTCACTATGTTCTTACACAGGATTTTACATATTACTAGTTGATGGTTCATTGTTTTTATAAGGAAAAGCACAGTATAATTTACATTGCACGTAACCTTCATTACTTAACACACTTCCTTGATCCTCTTATAGATATTTGTCCATTGTTTGTCCCCCTTTCTGCTGGGACTTGGGAGAGACGGGTGCAGAAAGTCTCAGTGTCTTTGTCCATAATGCTTTCCTAAAAATGGTCTTTTTCTTATAAATCGATCATTTACTGCAACATGTGAACCACAGAACCCGGGGGGGGGGGGGCTTACTGTTTCTGAATCAAGCAAAAAGAAAACCAAAATGTAGAGGGTAGGTTTTAAGATCTGTACAGATCTTACAGGTTTTACGTACCCATATGATATAAAACTTTTCTTGTTGTACTCTGAGGGAAAATGTTACCTTTTCCATGACGTAGTTTATGGTTCACTGTTTAATAGAGATCATCGTTTACCTGTCAAATTCCTTGAACGTGGGATCATACCTGGCCAATAAAGCGGGCACTGATTCTAACATTTGATAAATGAAATCGTTGCACCCACTTGTCTTGCACTATCTCTCTGTAGGTCTTGATGCTTCTCCTCCTCTCCGTGATACAGGTGTCTCCTGTTACCAGCCGCTCCATCATCTTCCTCTCCTCCTCCTTCTTGATGAGGTCCTGGGAAACACTCCTCCTCCGACTTTTCCATCGGGCCAGGTCCTGACACACAAACATATTGGAAGTGCTTCAGTTTCAAGTAGAAATAGATCGGCACAGCAGGCGTTGCATGACCTGAAGCACTGCTCCTGTAAAACTGAATTAAGCTTTTTTTAAAGAGTCATTGTACTTGGATCTGAAAGCATTAAAGGATTTCACTTCATTTCATTTCATATTTGATTTATTTGCTCATTTCAGTGTATGGTTTCAACACAATAATACACAACAAAAAAATGTTTTCTCATAATACTGAAACACTGTTCATGAGCAAACAGGAGCAGGAAGAAGAAAACTTATAATACCTGCCTCCCTTTCCTAATAACATAAGATACTGTTTAACAGAATGAGATGGCTAACCTGTTGTTTTCTCTTTCTATCACAAAACAAAAAATAGATCAACAATATAGAAATAATCAAATACAATCAGTTAGATTATCTCAATACATTCATAATTTCCCAGAACCTTTTCTTTATACATTCTTTTGGTCACTGATGAACTGACACAATAGAGACAGAAAAATCTAAACTGCACAGATAAGAAGACATTAACTTAAAAGGTATCTTAACATACCGGTCCTAATCCTTAATCACACAGCCTTAAAGATATCAGGACAAAGCTGTGAAACTCACATCCTGCCAGTGATCCTCCTCTTCTTTCATCTGGTTGTACTGGTTGTGCATCAGTTCATGACGCACCTGACTGTGGGGCTGCATGAGGGCCTCTTCCTCACCGCGCATGTCGATCATGCTCACACTCCTAAAGGAGGGGAGGAGGGAGGGAGGAGGAGGAGGGAGGGAAACAAACACACACAGTGAATGCGAGTAATGCGAATGCTGAACTGTTCTTTATGCGTTACATTAACGCCCACTGGACTTTACATTTATTTTCCTACATGCACTCTGTGAGTAGGTTACATACACTGTAAGATTTCCACTGCACAGCTCCTACATTGCACCTTTTGTGTCTTTTAGTTTTTTATATTTGACATTTTTAAATTCTATTTTATATATTGTAATATCTTCTTATACTGTATTATTTAAGTTGTTGCTAGTTCTGCTTTATTTCCTTGTTAATTGTTTAGCACCAATACACCAAGTCAAATTCCTTGTATGTGTAAATGTACTTGGCAATAAACCCAGATTCTGATTCTGATTCTGATTCTGATTCTGAGTGAAGATGATGAAAAGTCATTCTGACATAGGGCATGGTTAAGTTATTTTCATAATTCCACGTGTGTGTTGCCATACGTCTGAGAGCAGCATGTTTGTTCACATGTTGGGCTTTATTTCAAAGTCATGTGGAAGTGGAAACACTGCAGTCATGAACTTTTCCAAGACTCAGCAGTGGCTCTCAAGTGCACATGAAAACTATTCAAACCCATTCAAAAATCCCATGTTCATAGATGAGGATTAAAGAAAAACACAACAACAATGATTCCATTTCAATTAACGATGAGAAGCGACTAAACTGGAACCGATGGCTCAAGAACAGAAACCCAACCAACACGTTTCCTTCAAAAGTACTGAGTGCATTAGGCATGACTGGAATAAAAATTATCATTCACATTTCTTCAGAAGACTCCGACACAGAAGGCTCCAACAACAAAGTTATTCAACATGTCTTCCCGTATGCAACCTGCCTTTTGTCTTTCAAATAATCCTCTATCATAACATGTCACATTCCAACATTTTTTACAGATTTGAAGCGAGTATCATGAGAGGCAACAAACAGTACTTTCTTAAAACAGTCAAACACTGTTTACAGCATTTTTTAGATAAGAGACATGAGTGTGATGAGCAGCCTTACAGTTCAGAGCATGCTGTTGTAATGGTTGTTCATTGCAGATTTAAGGAAACAAAGCAGGAGAGAGATTTGACTTTACTCAAACATAATATCTCTTCAAATCAACACAAGCAATCGATCCATCTCCCGCTTCTGAATCCTTTCACCTGCTTTCATGAAACCTGCACTTTTTGTGTTACAAGTAAATGATGATTACCAAGATGAAATTCTTATTAAATCATCTATATGATGTTATATGTTTTGTAAGTATTGTAAAGGGATGGGATGAGAAAGCGTGATTAAAATGGTTTTCGTCAAACATGCAGCTGGCGGGAGCGATGATGGGATGTTGGAGACAGATGGTTGAGTAAGTCCACTGAGAGGAAAAGATTGTAACCAGCAAATAAACTATTTCCTTTACATTTTTTAAAGAATGTATTTATAATACTTAAAGAATACAGGCTGGGGATGTTGTTTGACACTCTCGCAGCAACCCTGAAGTTACCAAAAAAATGCATAAACCTGTCTCAACTAAAAAAAGAATCTGCAGAAACTACTGCTTTCTACATATAATATTTACTTCTCATACAAGAGCTTACAGAATACATTAAGGCACTAATTAGAGACGCTCAGTCTGCAATTCTAAGATCCCGTGCTTTTCCATTTCAGAGGTTTTTCTACACTGAACACTAAACATTTAAAACCTGTGCAGAGTATTTTTTTTATGACGTAAAATCCGAAAAATAATTAATAAATCAAATAAAGTGAAGATGGCCTAAAGAAAGTTCTTCAAACTACTTAAAACATCGGCACATTTCCCCTCTTGTGGGTTAAAAAAAAAAAAAATTCTTAAGCAGGATGAATGATTAAATGAATTTTCAAGCGAGCTTTTCTTTGCAGAAGAGAGCAGAGCTGAGGCAGAGCGCTGAGCCTCTGAATGGTATGAAGACAACTTACTGTGGGTCATCTGACGCACTATGTGTGCTGCTGATTCTACAGAAGAGCATTGAGAGAGAGCACAATCACAAATGAATACACTCAGAGGAACATGTCATTCATCTGACAGTTAAAACACAGTGATGGGGGGGATGGTTAGCTATCAGGCTAACATTGTGTGCTGTGATAACATCTCACTATTATGACAGATAGAATACAGAACAGCTGATAATGCTTTAAACATGCATGTCTGGAGGTTTTTTGATGCATTTGTGAGTTTATTGGTTTAATGATGATCCTCAAATCAAGCACAAGGGGGCAGTCTTATCTGCAACACAGCCAGAACAGAAGACAGGTTTACTGCATCACTGCAAACCAGAGACACTGTTAGCATCCAACAGATGAATATGGCTGGAAGGCAGCTGACACTTTAATATCAAAGAAAGCACATGCGCCTTTTATTAGACGGCACAAGAGGATGTGTCTCTTTTTCTGTCTGTACCGCTGGTTGAAGGTTTGGCCTTAACCACAAAGGTCTTCACACGGTCGTGTTTTAATGGAGCCTCGTCTCTGATGTTGGACGGGTGTGAGAGGAAGTGGGGCCTGTGGTTTCTGGCCGTAAGAGGACAAGGAGACTAAATAAAAGAAACTTGTCACTGGATTAGGACCAGAAGGTTTGTAGTCTTTGATGGCTGTTGATATATTATAGAAAGATGTTTTTTTTTTGGGATGATGACAGCCTGTGATACAGCTGGACTTGCATCAGAGCAAAGGTCAGTGAAAGGTCAATTCATAATCAGCACATTATAGTACAATAGCTTGATTTATTCAGAGGTACTCTCACTCAAGAATAGCTCAATTATATCAGATCAAATTCAATGTAATGTCCTGAATTTTTTTCCTTAATTGGATTCCCTGAATAGATCAAACTTTGCAAATCGGAGTCACGGGAACGTTAATAAAAGACCACGCTATCCAACATTTTCTCTTCTCCAAATTTCTTTAAAAAAAAAAGAAGAAATGAGAAAAAATATACATTTTCATTCAGATTTTCGGTGGATTTTGAGTACAACATATGCATTCACATATAGATGTCATGCAACCGTGAGGTAGTGAAGTCATTCAGGAGGAGCACCGCAGCCTGGGGTCAAGATAACATGCTGAGGTGAAGCACTTAAACTACTGAATTGATGCTTTTATCGCCTGATTTTTAACGATGGAAATTCACAAAATGTAGTGCTGGACGTGGCTCACGTTGCTGGAAGATCGCCGTCCGCCCAAGATCCCTGTTGGTCGTCACTTTCACTCAGTGCCCTCCCCTTCCGTCGGCCTGCGTCTGTTGTTGCTGTTGCTGAAGCAGTTGCCATGGCAGCAGGCACAGGAAGGAAGTCGGAGAGGCCGGAGGTGGTGATGTTTTTGGGAGAGGTTAGCGTTTGCGGCTCAACAGCTGCACTTGACATGGCAGCGATGTCTTCCTTTACAGGTGGTTGTTTCCCAGTCGCGGCGACGGGACTTGTTGCGTTTCCGGCTAGAGTCGTCGATCGGTTGAAGAGTTCCTCTGAGCACGAGCGAGCTGGAGTACTGCAGAAAGCAAAACAAACTAAAAACGCACTGCTGCTTGCTTATCATCCTATATCATCTGACAGAATTCCTTTGAAGGAGCCAAAAAATGGAGTTTTTTTTTAAAGACATCAATCTATGAAAATAGCACAGCGAGGTCACAAATCCCCTCAGAGAGCAGACTGGATAGCAAAAACACAAACCGCAGTCGCTGAAACCTTCTGTTGTTTGTCATCCTGAGATGAATGGTTTACTTTCTGGGAGGATTATTATTGGACTGTAAATTCCCAGATCGCATGGCGGGGAGGGGAAGGCTGTGAAAAGGCTTCAGTCCCAGTCTGCTCAGGGTCAGGGAAGGAAGAAAGCCTCATTTCCTTACATCCTGAGGGTGGGTCGAATGTGCATGTTCCCTGCATGTGTGTGAGTGTGAACACAGTACACACACACACACACACAGTACATTTTTGTGTGTACCTGCTCTGTGTATGGCTTTGTATTTGAAGGTGTGTGCAGGTTAGTTTGAGTGCTATATTTCTGGAAACGAGACACAGGCTTCCTTGCTTTTCTTGTCAAGTTTTTATCAGGTCAAAGTTCACAAGTGGGGATGTTTTTGTTAAGTAGTTAAATCCCTTATGAATTATTCCTACCCTTCCATATGTAACATGCAATACCTGCTCAAGCTCAGAAACAGAAGCACAAGCATGACACCCTATGTCTGTGTAAACCAAGTGAGAAACAACCACGCCTCAGCAGACTGCACTTTAAACAGCCATCTACACCTTGATGTTGAGTCCACAGTATCCAGTAAGACACACTGAAATGATCCGATTCCAACGTGAAGAAAATGCAAGCTGTGACAAACAACAAACTGTCCCTATCAAAGCCTTTGTACAAACATCTGAGAATTCCCCTTTTTCCTTGGAACACAGATAAACACAAGTCAGATGTTCTGCAGAGGATCCTTTTCCACTCCTCTTGAAATGCTGACAATTCAATCAACGCAACAATATTTGTGCCAGAGAGAGCTGGAAACTGGGGGTGTGACTGTGATAAATCTCCAACAAGATTGTGAATGAGGCGTCTGGTGGACTAAGAAAAAAAAACAAAAAAACACTGCACAGGGCCGGATTGTGAAATAACAACTTGAGACTTGAGCTGACAGAAGAACAGCACAGTGAAATACACACTGTATGCTCATAATCTAAACCTTGTTACATGACATACATGTGACCCCTGGCTGGTCACCTTAATGAAAAAAAATCCACAACATCAGATGCATCTACATTTAGCTCGGTTACACTGAGCTACAGACCTCCCGCTGAATCAATGTTGCTCTGGATAAGATCAGAATCAGAAAGGATGATTTGTTAGCAGCAGTGCCAAAGAGAAAAAAGGGTTGGAAGGATTGAACCACCAGCTGTGAAAACTAGAACTGCATTCTATCAAAGAAAAAACAGCCCTGATGAAACTGGACGCTCATTTGTTCAGGGTTTATCCCGACTCATGGGGACATTGTTTTTGGACATATGTGTTGCTGCTGAGATTTCTTTTTGCACAGCACAAATTAAATTCCATTCCTCTTCTCTCCATGGCAGGGCATGCATAAGACTATGAGGTAGATATCTCCAACTTGATCATGAAGCTGAGAATATCTGCAAAGCTTGATTTCCCAAGAGATATTATTTTCATTATCCAAATCTGGCTCCTACATTACCCAGAGTGCACCTGAACCACCAACAGTTCAATAAGAGAGTCATTGCATTACAGAGTCATAATGAAGCCTCAAGCAGAGACCAGTAGTGGGCTATTGATCTGGAATGAGCCAGTGTTTCCCCTACCAGTCATTTGCAGGCCACAACCCCAACATGACCCCCCTCCTTGGATGGAATTATTACCGTTGTTTTCAGACACAGAGCCGGTGCTCTGATGTTAGCCTACAAGCTAATCAAACAGGCACGTCCCTTACTTAAAGTGAATCAACTTTAGTTCTGCGTGATGAGCCAACCCGTCGGGGGAGCCAGGTCACCAGGTCACCAGGTCACCAGGTCTCCACCCCTAACAGACAAACTTCTTTACAAATCCCCACTCCCAAATGTGTAGTCCCCAACAACGAACAATGTAGCCTCCAGTGACATCACATGAGGCAACCCATCACGGCCCCCCCAAGTCATATTTTTTTCACATATGCTAAACAACCCAACACCTGCAAACAGACTTCAATTTGCAAAACTGGTGGAGCTCCCCTTCTAGGAGAGTATGTGTGATGGCTTCAAACAAAATCAATTAGGTAAGCCGTTGCTGAGCGGGTTTAACACGCTATCAAAATAAAAACAGAAGGCAGCCGCGGATCCAAAGTCGACTTATAAGCTACATTTATTAATAGAAAACTTTTCAGCAAAAACTAAAATTCACAAAATAAAATAAACAAATCAGATCTCTATATCACGTATATCCTAAACGGCCCTTTGCAGTCAAAAAACTGTTCCGCTTCCCCCACTCTCACTCTCACCCCAGGTGTCCTTAATCAACTTAAATTACACTGCCGATACGCCGCGGCTCCGCCCCCAAAGAGAGCGAAATTAGGCACAAAATACCCCAAATCAATTAACAAACGGTAAAACCAAAAGAAGCCAGAATCAACAATAATATAAACAAATAATTCTAAATTCATTAATGTTCTCTTTTCTATTTTTTAACTGTAAATAATTCATATGGCCACAAAAGTATGCAAGAATGTACAAAAATCAACAATTTCTTTGTAAATAAATACTCAAAATAATTCAGAGCTTTGAACCAGATTTCATTATGTTTTATATTTGGAAACTATGAAACAGAAATGTGTCAAAAAAAGCGATCAGGGCTGCTGATTTGGGTTTTGGAGAAAAACAAAAATCAAGGTAAAAACCTTTGCTCAGAGGTGACCGTCAGGTGAGTCTCCTTTGGGGGGTCTGCATGGGGCTGGGGGAGGCTATAGGGCAGAGGCTCACTGCTCCTCCTTACGCCTGCTGCGTGGATCTCAATGTAAGGTGGGGAGGCTGGCAGACTCCCTCCCTCATCGTCCATTTTAGACTGGTTCTCCTTCTGAATCTGTATCTGGGGTTTGCGGGGCGAGGTAGGGGACAGGATTGGGGATTCTCCAGGTGGGACGTCTAAGCTAGGGATAACATTTAGACTGTAACACGATCCATTTATACGACACACACAGACGGGTGGGGGAGACATAATCCAAATGGAACAAAATTAACAACGACAATATGAGGCATGGTCATAACACACCATCAACACAAAAAAGGGGAATGAAGTTTTGCACACACACAATGACGGGAGGTAAGAGGGAGAACACCAGGATGGATGAAATGGAAGGAGATGGAGAAAAAAAAACAAAAAAAACAATAATGCAAATTCAATCAGTACATGCTTTGTGATGCAAAACATAACACAATGGATGAAGTTAACAATAGAGGGGAATGAAAGACAGATGAAGAACAAACACTGGGTGAAACACACACACACACACACACACACACACACACACACACACACACACACACACACACACACACACACACACACACACACACACACACACACACACACACACACACACACACACACAGCACTTTGACATGTAAACCCACTTGGCTAAAACTAATTAGCTTGCAGATATTTGGTTTTTGATTCAACATCTTCGATCTTAAAACATCAACCTTCAATCAGGTCCTGTGATTCCCCCTACACTACACACACACACACACACTACACACACACACACACTCACACAACTAGCAAAACTGCACACATATGGACACAACTGATCAAAGCATACTATGGATTCCTCGTAGAAAGCTTACATTTCAAACGTCTTCACTGGATGCCATGCACTAATCATCAAATTCAAAATCAGGCCTCCAGACTCAAATCTGCCACACTTTGTTTGTTTCAATGCAGCATGCTTCACACTTTTTGTTTCATCAGAGCCAAAGCCTTTTGTCAACACACATCTGGCCTCCATCAGCCCCTCCCATATGAACAGAGCTTGACATAATTAAATAAACCCAAAAGGATGTTGGTGGGTTTGTCCGACTCATTTCTAATTCGATAGTTTTATCGATAATGTAAGCTAAAAACGAGGTCACAGAAGCACCACTTGTCCTTAAATAACTGGTTAATTACACTACTGACCCGGCTGACACCAGCAGCGTTCGCTACTAGACTGGTCACATGACTAATTTAAAATCCATCATATCAAATCAAAACTCAGCCGTATCATCACTCTGATTCAAACTCAAAATGTTCAAGTGTTTTCCAGAATTCGGTCAAACAAAGCATGTTGTAAATGAATCAAGTTATGGTAACTGAGGGCGCCGGATAGCCTGCTGGTTATATAACTCGCCCCATGTCCAGAGGCTATAGACTTCACAGTGGGCGGCCCGGGCTCCCTTCGACCCTTCTACACTTTGCCACATGTCATTCCCCTCTCTCCTCTCTCTCAACACAGTTTCCTCCTCACTCCACTGTTCTCCACTACGATAAAGGCAAACAATTAAAAATACAAATCTATAAAGTTGTGGTAACTGGGATTACTCTCCTCTGATTGGACTGCAAATGAAATCTTGATATTGAAAATCTCTGTTTTTATAATATTAAAGTATTAAGTTGAACTGCACAAGACACATTTACGTCAGATTAGTGAATCTTTTTTTTTTTTTTTTTTAAAGATTTATTTTTGGGCTTTTTGTGCCTTTAATTGAGAGGTAGGACAGTGGATAGATTCAGAAATCATGGAGAGAGAGAGAGAGTGGGGAATGACATGCGGGAAAGGAGCCACAGGTGGGATTCAAACCTTGGCCGCCCGCTTGGAGGAGCAAAGCCTGCATACATGGGGCGCAAATCTTTATACACTTGTTAATAACAGTGCCAACTCACAAGCTAGCGTTCTCTCTATGTGACAGTGTTTTTTTATTTCCTCCATCAACTCTTGAAGTCAGGCTCACCTGAATGGCCTCTCGCCCCCTACAGGTGAAGTAGCAGTGCTCCAGCTCTTGCGGCCCCCCTCCTCTTTGTCGTTCCTCTTCTTGCGGAGAGGCGTGGGCACATACCCGCTCTGGTTGCTCTTGTTAGGCAGGTACTGGTTGAAGGGCATGGCGGTGCGCGGCTCATTGATGGACGTCCGTCGTGCCAACATGTCGTCCTTACGCACGTCTGGCATCTTCCTGTGGAGGGGACCGTCGGACTCTGAGTCACTGCCGCGGCCTGGTGGGAGAAGGAGACGGGAAAGTGAATTCTGCAGTTAAACTATTTGTAAGTTTGTTTTTTTGAGATTCTGTGGTGCACAAACATTTTACAATTTGTTCAGCTAGAAAATAAAAAACAGAACAATGCATGTCCACACTTCCTGTTTGTGCATGTGTGTATTTCAGGCCTCTGAGTGGGAGAATCGTGTCTCTAAATAACACAGTCTAAAACCAGAACTTCCCTCAGGGATTAATAAAGTATGTATGAATGAATAAACTAAAAAATAAAATGTTAAAATTGTAACAAAACACATAAATATATCACACAATAAATGACTTCTTAGTTCTGTACTCCATCAACTCTCCCATCCAAATGTTTGATTATTATTTTCAGTGTGCTTAGAAAATCATCTTGCAGTTTTTCCCAGCAATTAATTGAATTAATTACATCCCACAGAGTCTATCAACCTGATGAATGAGAATGTATTTAATAAGGATTCCCCTTGAATTATCCCAGAGAGCAATATTCTTTCAGCTTGCTACGTAATTTTCAGAGAGAGAGAGAGAGCGAAGAGAAGATGCACAAAAGAGAGTTCAACAAAAGAAAAAGTTAAGCAGTGAAACATTTGATTTAGGAGTCTCACTGCTGATTCCCAAATCTCTATCCGGGCTACACAAATAAGCTTCACATCTACATAATTTCCTTCCAGGCTGTTACATCCAATCGGCAAACATAAAAGTGCTGTTACAGTGTTATTATATACGTGTTGCAGTCCAGCTGCTGAACATAAATCAAACCCCAGGCAGGCTGATGGCTTGTTTTTGTGAAACAAAGCAAGTAACATAAATCATCGCTAAATTTTGTATTGTGCGTCTTGTGCTGACTAAATTCTAACCTACAGTGCGGAAGACTTCACTTAGGATGCCTCCGCGTCTATGTGTTATCGTGTTTGAAACACATTGTTAGCACTTTAATGTTAGTGGTAACACCTGGCCTTGCAGAAGTTCATTGCTCAAGGACTTTCCCTGCTACATGTCTTAAATTCCTCTGCAAGACGTTCACATGTAATCCTCAGAAGAGAGAATAAGGACAAGATTTACCCTGAGTTCATACCGGTCATTTCCACCTTCATTACACTGTAGTATTACTAAAGGTAATCCCAACATCGGGGACCAGCAGGTAAAGGATACCTGCAGCCTCGCTTTGCTCAAGGTCCCTCAAAATTCCTCCCCAAGATGTTCAGCACATGTGCTACTGGAATTCCCCTCCCTTTGAACGCATGCACGCTAAATCTGATGACTCAATGTATATATTTTCCAAGAAACCCACAATTTCAACCAGATCTGAACCGTTAAATCTTCTCTTAGCTCTAAACAGATACATGTGGAATCAGAAAACTGCTCTCAGTGGAAACAAACGTCATATTCTTCTAAACTGGTGAAGAACCAGTTTTCTTTCAATCGACTTCTTCGTCTTGATGTGGTGGAAAAGATCGACAGATCAAGGTCCAAAAGAGGCCTTGAGGTATCTGCACTTCCCACCAATGAACGGTTTAATTATATCTCTTAACCCATCAATTGGAAACATGAGTGACTCTACCATCCAAGACGATCAACCCTTAAGGAACAACACATGTCTTTATGGGGTGATGCACTCTCTCTGCACATGTGGAAACACTGAAGTCTGGGGGAACATCTTTCATGGGTCAGTGCCATACTGTGCCAGAGATGCACACACACTTATTTACATCAATATTCATCAAAATGCATTTATACTGCAGGAAATGCAGAATCAATGGATAACAGCTCAATATGAGCTACACAAAAAAAAAAGAGAGGAAGGATCAGAATAACATGAAGAGTGATAGAGATACCATCATGGCCTCTAATGGCAGTAAAGTGAATTAAATGATGACACTTTCTGGGATGGTATTCATGCTTTTCCAATTCTCTCATATTATAAAGCACATCTTTCTAGGCAGGAGGACGCCTGTTGTGGTCCAAACTTTGTTTTCTACACACTGTGCCAGAAGTGAAAAAGGTTGGACTGAACCAAAACAGTATGGACAAACAATCATCTGGGTTATTTGTATATTTTCAAACAAACCCCTAACAAAAGAGAGAATAAAGTGTTGGGAGGGGAACTAATACTTTGGTTAATCATTTGACAAATGGGGAGGCAAGCCCCAACCAAAAAGAGGCTAAATCCCTGCAGAATCTGTGTTATTGATATACTTTGTTTTTAACTTCACAATCAGTTGCCAAAGGGACGAATCCGAAGAGATGGCTCGTGCAATGAAACAGACCAGTATCATTTTACCAACGATGTTTCAAACAGCAACAGGGATTTTGAAAATGGAAACATGGCGATACTAGCCAAAAGAAAGGAGAAATCTGTCCGAGATTGGAGGCTAAAGGCAGGCGCCAAAGCACATATTCTGAATCTGACTTTAAAAAATACTGAAATCCTGATTTACTGATCTGCTCCAAAGCTGCAAAATCTTGTGATCTTGTGCTTTAAATCTTTCTATACTGAGGTTGGGTGTTAATCATGCCCCAGAACAGGCATCAGAAATGTTATTTATTTAAACCATATTGATGATATCAGTTTATTCTTTCAAGAAGCCTGAGAGTAGCACTATGGGTTCTGCAAAAACAGAAAAGGGGTGGGGGTGATTCTTATTATATAATAGCAGAAGCACAAAGTGTCTCATTTGTCATCACTGTATCCATGTACAAAACTTGGCAAAAACAAAAGAACATCGCTATTATTGAATGTCTTTCAGGGATTGAATTAAAGTCTTCTCCCTGTCCTCTCGTTGCTGTCGGGGTGAAGTCCGCTCACTGAGCTGATTGGAGAAAGGGCTTTGTCCAAAGGTCAGGGCAGAGAAAACCTGGCTGGGTCAAGTTGGTGTGCTTTTTTGATAAATGATGCTCTTGTTCTGAGTGTACTCAAAGCTCCCCCGTGATTGGATGATAGCCGCATTGTTCTTCTGTTCCAACTTTTCCAGTCTGTGCCCCCTGGGTCTGATGTGAAAACTGATGTATGGCACCCTCAATAAAAGTAAGGGCTAACACATTTCATGATGCCAAATTTACACTGCAAGGTACAGCACCTCACCTCGCTCAGAGTAGCTCTTTTTTGGGTTCTCCAAAGTTAGAGGTAATACCTGGAACACTGTAGATATTAATTATAGAGAAAACTCCCTTTCAACCTAAAACAACTGAATCCCGAAAAATGGGTTAGATGGTTTAGAAGATAAACAATTAGGACAGCACTCCAAAAATGTATTTTAATTGCCACACAGATGTTTGCAGCAGACGCTCTTCAGCGTGTAACCGGCAATTGCCTCAAAAATTGCCTGTTACACGCTGAGGAAGAGCGTCTGCTGCAAACGTCTGAGTGGCAATTAAAGGCTTTGTATGCGATTTTTTTGATCCAGCAGATGTCGCCCTTGAGCACCAGCATAAAACCAAAACAACTCACACTGCATTGTTGTGTTAGCATGCTAATGCTAGCGATCTTTATTATGCTGGTATCTTCACACTGCATGTAAATTTACCTGAAATGAGCGTGAGCTAGAAACACAGTTAAGCAGTGAGTACAGTATGTTATTCTTCTTTTCTCTAGTCCCTCAATTAAACAACTTTTATACACGAGGGGAGGAGTCAACCGGCCGTCCAGGCGATGTAAACAAAGTGAAGATAGGACTCTGAAAACTCTGAAAGCATCACAGACAGTGGGACTCGGGTGTTACACCCATTGTAGACAGTCATGACTCACAGAGTTATTTTCAGAGGATATACTTGATTTATATTACATTTAAGTGTATAAAATTGCACATAAAGCCTTTAAAATCCATTGTAGATATTTCCTGGGTCAAGGTTCCAAACTCAGCCTTGATAATAAACAATAGAATTGAAACACTGCACAACAGATAAATCAGGGAGAATGAGCACTGGAGCATACATTGATTACAATATAGTAAATCATACACAAACTGCCAATTTGAATTGCCAAGCTTCTACAGCGTCTGCAATGTGTTAAACACTAGACCAAGATTTTTATCAATGGTAGCCAACATAAGGAATCTGTGGTCAGTGACGAGATGCAGAGAGGTGCAGTGTTTGGGTTGCATTTAAGAGAAAGTGACAGCAGTCTCACAAGTCATTACAATGACACAAGATCCAGCCTACACTGAGGGAGGAAGCATCTGCAGCTCAACATAAAGTGAATAAAGAACGCTAAATAAATCCAGCTAAGCTTTGTAAAAGAGCCAACTGGACAGGAAAAAGTCTCTAAATTTTTAAGAGGTGGAGATTTTAGATCATATTTAACTGTCCTTTCTTTCCTCCTGTGCAAGACTGAACCCCAAAATATTCTCGACAGAAAACAGGAAATACCCATTCAAGAAAATGTTGAGATACAGTAATTTATTAAATTGTGATGTTTCAACTAATCCACTAATCCAAGACATTTGTGTGTCATTTCTTTTTTGGCCATCATGTCTCTCTTTTATGACTATTTTTCATCAGAAGAAATAAATGTTGTTAATGTCTCTGAAATGACAGGTTGTGTTACTTTACTACACATTTAAAGTGTGTGTACTGAATTAAAAGCAGCCTGGTGATGTGACTAATCAAGCTGTGGGTTGTTTGTGTTGGTGGACAGATTGATTGTGGTAAAGCTTGTGTATCAAACACTAGAGGGTTTAAAATAAGGTCTTTTGACAGCTTTATTTTTATTCTACTGAAGAAAGACAAAAAGCTTTGTGGCTCCTGGCTGTGATGGATTTCTCCTTATTTGATCGTTAAATGTTATGAACAATTAGGAATGTTCCCAGCGGCTTATTTCAAATCAAGAGCCAAATTTAAGTTCAGACTTAGTTGACTCATCTAAAGTTAGGAAAACACTGAGAGCATCAGCAGCAAGGATTTCAAATTGGCTAACAGTAGGAGTGTTTGCACTGCCAGTCTTCAGACCTCCTGGCAGGTTAAATGTGGTCATGCATTGCTTTGTTCGAGTGGTTATATGCTGAGTTTACCTGACACTGCCTATATACTGTATTTTCATTCTAGATCAAACTGTTTTGCTCCTATATGAGATGCTATTCCTTCACTGTGCTGGAATACAATGTGACTAGTTTCAGACATTAAAATCTGAGGTGTGCCAATGATAAATCTTTTATCTGTGGCTCTCCATCTGGAGTTTGAAATTCTTATTCCTTTTTTATATTTCTGGTGGTTTTCTTTTTTTTAAACTTATTTCTGAGAAGTAAAACATCCAACAAGGGTTTTGAGTCCCTCTGACTGCTGGTGACAGCAGCTTAGGCTGTGGAGACGGCAGCTTCCTCAGCACTTCCTTCAAAACAAAAACACAGCCTGACAGGATGACTGGTCTCACTCAGTTTTCCCACGTGAAGTCTAGAGATGAAACTTGCATCAAGAATTTTGAAGACTGTTGTAACCTTTTATAAGCTGCCACTGACATTTAAAAAAAAGGGACGGATTCGTACTAAGTGTACCAATCAACAGCTTTCATTGACAGCAGATGGTGGACTTGGCATAATAAAGTACTTCTACGCAGCCAAACTCTATCTTAGACTTGATTTTTTTGACTTCAGCACAAAGAATAAAACAAGTTCATAGCTGTTTGAAGTTTGTTCGTTCTTGAGAGTCTAACCTTATGTATACTTTTCATGCTACTGAGTTGGATTCATTACATTCCTTATTATCTAAACAAGTCATGATACAGGCAGACCTAAACATTTTCTTTATGTTACATCTTGCAAGTTTTGGTACCTGGGATTTTAACTGTCTTTAATAAAGTTTAACTATGTTTGTGTGTAGTGTGATTGTGTTGTTAAATCAGAGTCTATACATGTATCTATTGTTTGAATCTTAAAGGAGACACAACCATTAAGAAACACACTGAGAAGAGAAGAAGGTGTTGATGTAGATAGAAAGTAAGATATTAATTAAATACATGTTTATGGAAAGTAGCAGGTGGGGAGAATTAGAAATAGCTGTCGGGGGGAAATGGAGCATAAGCCTGTTTCAATGACAGCTGAGTCAAAATAGATTTAAAGTACTTGATTGATAAAGAATAAATTGATGGAAACCTGTACATTTTGTGACCACTAAAAGGGCTTTCACACTTGCAAAAAACTCCTGATAAACTCAGGATATTTCCAGAAGGAGCAAACAGCCACATTTTTTAGTCGGACTTTACCCCCCTTGTATTTTTTCCGCAGCAAGTCTGATTGAGCTGATGTTAGAACACAGCAGGATATTCTTCAGAGAAATCAGCTTGAGCCAATTGGAGGTGGGAGTGACGTTTATATATACTGTGACTGGAGTCAGTGCATTGACTGTTTACCCATGGTTGCTACGATCTCTGCCCATGTAATTAAACGGCTGCATTATGTTTTCTGTTCGTCAGGCATGTTATTCTCCGCTGTTTTGTTGACATTATGATTCTGCCAAACTACACGCAGCATTGATATAAAAGCACATTTTCTCATTACAGCATCGTATAGTGGACTCTGTTTTGCTCTGTCTGCTACTTTCAGTTTTTTATTTTATGTCACGTCTTACCTCGGGAGACCCCCTGCTCCCCCTCCTGTCTGATTTAACATGTGAATTTGCATTTTGTACAATCCACAAAGGATGAGGATGTTTAATTATATGTAACCTTTATTCTTAAACCAAAAGCCGCCTAGAAGTATCGTTGACGGACTGTAAGCTTTCATTCATACAACCACACCTCATTCTCTTCTTTGTCTCACTACAAGAGGATGTTTCATCTCTGCCTCTCTCTGCTGCTGTCACTCATCTCACTGCACACTTAAACAGAGTCATCAAACAGCTGTAGTCCATGACGACAGGCTTAAACACTCAGCACAGAACCCCTTTTGTGTGGATGTCAATGACAGGGTCGGAAATCCTCTGTGAAAGGTGTCACAAACACAACGAGACAGTAAGCTTGGAAAGGCACAAAGGCTCAGGGCTTACTGTACTGTGCATAAAAACGTGAACCAAAACAGAAGCATAGTTACACAAAATACAGCAAAAGGCAAAAACCTTCAGAGGATGAAGAATCAAGAGGAGAAAATAAGCAAAAACAAATTAAGAGTGCAAGATTCATTCAAATGCTTTCATAGAGTTATTCAACTAAAATAAATAAAATTGTTTTTTTAATAAATAATGAACAAATCATATTCTCCTCCTTTTCAACTAGTTTAAATATGGTAAGCCTTAGAGCTCCTCTAAACATGTGTGTGAAGTGTCTTGTTCTAAATCCACTCTGATCCTATATTTGATCATGTCTATAAACCCCTCTATTTCAGCCCTGCTCAGAACAGGCTGTTTCTGTGTCTGTACCTTTAAATATGTAAATGAGCTGTGTCTGACCACGCCCCCTCTCTGGAAGGGCTTGGGTGTACTCGGTGCTTTGTTGCTCCATGTCCTATTGTTTACGGTGAGAAGGCAGACTCAGAGGGCAGAACAAACACCTAGCTGTGGGAGTGTCACCCACCTGGGGGAGGGGCTACGGCCCTTTGTGATGTCATGAAGGGAAAATCTCCAAACGGCCTGTTTGAGCACACATTTTCTGAAAAGTGGAGCAGGTAAAAGACGGAGAGGATGGACTTTTCTCATCATTGGGGGGTTTGTAGACAGACTAGAGACACAGTAGTTTTAGAAAACCATGGTAAAATGTATTTTGTATAATATGTGACCTTTAACTTTTAAAATTGAAGCACAGCATTATTGTGGTGCTTAGGACGTCTTTAAAACATATTAAAATATTAGATAATAACTACTTTCTACATTCCCAACATGTATCTGATGCTCTTAAAAGGAGTGACCATCAACAGGGCAGAGGCTGGTTTCTCATTATGTTCTGACTGAAACTCTAACTTGATTTTAATTGAGGAATCAGATGTGTACACAGGGAACTGCTTGATTCTACAATTCTACATCTGCATCATATCAAACCCTTTAGCTTTTAGCTTTTTGCCGCTTTTATTTTATGACCAAATGGGAATATTTCTCAGAGGATAAATCAATAAAGTGCCTTTTGAATGTCGCCTGTCACAGCTGTCCTTGGAGGCCATGTTGGTGGAGTTAACATTAAACCAATGAAATGTGTTAAAAACAAAAACAGATGTGACGGGTTTATTATTAAAGCAAAGATTGTAAATGTGTTTCTTTTAATCTGCATTGTAAACTGACCTTAGACTTCTGTGATTGAAGAACTGATAACAGACACACAAAAGTTACTTTAGCTGCTTTTCTGAGAAGAACACAAAGACTCCTGTGCATGTAGCCTTTGACCTCGATTAATCACATTAGATTCATATTCTTTTTTTAATTTCTAACTGAACTGGAGACATTCACAGGCACTGGAAACAAGGTTTTACAAAAGTGGAATCAGAAACACAAAATGGCATGAAGACTATATGATGATCTATATGGTAACATTGCTTTTACTAAATTCCTTTAAAATGAAGCTGAATGTGAAATTAAACAGTAGCCATAACTTGACTTCAAAACAGGCATCACACTGAGATCATTCACATTATTCTTTTAAATAGCCTTTGACCAACACAGGGTGTTGTCCTGCAAAAACACACAGAGAACAACATGCTCTACTATAGAAGCACCATCAGGACAATGCACCTCGTTTATCCTGAGGCTCTGAGAGGAACTGAGAATATTGAGATTTTTAAACACAGTCTTAAAACTCATTTATTCAGTCTGGCTTTTATATAAATTCAAATCATAACATTATTGTATTGCCTTTTTTTATCCTACTACAATTTTAAATATTCTTATATTTAAGAATTCTCCTATGTATTAATTTTAATATCTTATTGCTTTTATGTGTCATATTTTATTTTTTTCATTTATATATATATATATATATATATATCTATCTATATATTTCTTTTCATTCTTATTAGTGTGCATTAGTCTCGCAATGATTTTATAAACTATTTTTTCATCAACAACTTTTCTGCACTCTTGTAAAGCACTTTGAACTGCAATTTAATTTGTCTGAAAGGTGCTTTATAAATAAAGTTTGATTGATTGATTTATCTATAAGTCTGGACACCACAATCGACCCACACACAACAGCCAGTATTGAATAACTGCACTCTCAAAAGCCATGCAGTCAGGCCGTTTAATGACACAATGGATATGAGAAAGATTTGACCTGCGACCTTTGAAAGGTTGGTCTGTTTGACCACAAGATCAAACTTTCACAATCAATTCAAAACTCTTCAAATGATGAAGAGTGAGAGGAGTGGAATATTTCCTACCATCGCTGCTGCCACGGGTGACCAGGACGTCCGGTGACGGGGTTTGTCGTGAGCGTGAACCGAAGGAGTCCAGACTGTCGAACGAGTCCTCGCGGCCGTGCCGTGGCGGGGAGAGAGAGTCGCTGCGCTCGGAGTCCCAGCAGTCGATGTAGCCACTGTCCCGGATGCTACGTTTAGGGCTCTCTGCTTCCTCTGCCTCCTGGACCGTTACACGTGGACAGGTGAGATGAAAACACACAGATTCAGCATCACATGCAGGTATGAAGAGGGAAAGATGACATTTTTGTCAAAAGCAACATCTTAAGAAGAGTTTAAAGTCCTGACACACACAAATATTTCCCTCTTAGTCCTAAATAAACTCATTTTCCTTCACTCCCTCAGAGTTTTCTCCTCCTTTACTTTTGCTCAGATCTTACTGAATAAGTCTCTCTTCACCTCAGTGACCCCTCCCTTTGTCTGTGTGCAGTTGAAACACGTCTCTGTAGCTAATGGAAGGTGGAGAAAGGCCTTTCCTGTCTACCAAAAGACTTCCTGTTCTTGACCTGTGGACCGCCTGTTACGCAACTCCCAAATCTCTGAAAAACTTTGTCTTATGCTTTCAAACAGGCTGTAGAGCCATAGAATTTCTGTCAGACATAAGGTTTTTTCTTTGTCCTATATTTAAGTGTCTTCAGTAAAGGAGAAACGTTTTAAAGAGAAGTTTTTTGGTACAGATGGCTGGATTGTTTGCTTTAAAACCCAGCGTCAGTTTTCTGATTTTAAATCTCTATTTCATCACCGACAGAATCTATACCAGCCTGTTAGAGGCTTTATGTGTGATTTTTCACACTTAAATATTATAGAAATCAAGTATATCATCTGAAAATAACTCTGTGAGTCATGACTGTCTACAATGGGTGTAACACCCGAGTCCCACTGTCTGTGATGCTTTCAGAGTTTTCAGAGTCCTATCTTCAGTTTGTTTACATCGCCCGGACGGCCGGCTGACTCCTCCCCTCGTGTATAAAAGTTGTTTAATTGAGGGACTAGAGAAAAGAAGAATAACATACTGTACTCACTGCTTAACTGTGTTTCTAGATCACGCTCATTTCAGGTAAATTTACATGCAGTGTGAAGATACCAGCGTAATAAAGATCGCTAGCATTAGCATGCTAACACAACAATGCAGCGCGAGTTGTTTTGGTTTCATGCTGGTGCTCAAGGGCGACATCTGCTGGATCAAAAAATCACATATAAAGCCTTTAAGTGAGGACGTAAATGTTTTTTTTTCTTCGGGTGGGAAACTGCCCCTCAAACCAAAGCACTCAAACTGAGCTACTTTCAACAAGAAAGCAGATGAAACTGTAGGAAAGCCAGCCATTCAACTGCATCTTGCTTTTCGATTATCGTTTTTTTTTGAAGGTCCAGTTTCCATTTTGAAGTATTGGAAGTTAGTAAGTACGTGCCAATTTAATTTGAAATGTGTGCACCTGATGTTCTTTCATTAGTCTTGTTATGAATCTCTTTTGTGTCATAGAAACGTGGCTTTGTTTTGGTCAGCTGCAAACTGTGAACATCTGTTGAAGTAATTTTGCTGAGTTGGCAGCGATCTTTTCACTTTTATTGAACGGCAAAGGGACGTCACAAGGTGGAATAAATTGCATGGGGGTGACATCATGGTTATGAGCGGTTGTCCTGTGTGTGTGTGTGTGTGTGTGTGTGTGTGTGTGTGTGTGTGTCTCCCGAGGGCATACTAGTGCTAACTTTTCTCTTTGTGGTGGAACCAGGTGGATGATGACAGCAGAGGTAAAGACAGCCTCGGATGATTTCTAAGTATTTGAGGTATATTTAACAGAAATACTCTTTCAGAGCGCCTCAGATTCAATGATTCAGCAAAATGTCCTTGTAAGTATTTTGTGAGGACTTTCAGACACTGCTGGTCTGTGATGTTCTGTTTATAGGAAGTGACAGCTTCTCTCCACTCCTCCTCTCCCGTCTTCTTTGTCCTCCAGCAGCGGTGGTTGCTGGGAGATTTGCTACAGAAACGACTGACTGCATTGTCCATGTACTTAAGATTTTCATGATATTTTTTTTTAACACCCTGGAAACTACTTTACATGACTTAGCAAACCTTTCGCATCTGTGACAGCAGGCCCTCGAACTCTTTCAGGTCCAGCGTGGGCCCGTTGTAGGAGGTACAGCCGTTGGCAGCTCGACCCAACCAGTAGATGGTGATTAAAACCTAAAGGAGAGGAAGAGTGCAGACAGTCAGAAAGTCAACAGATTGGAGACAGTTTAGCAAATATGTAAACATTCGAGACATCTCGGTTCCTGAAGGTGACAGAAGTTGACTTGTTTTTATTATTTAATAAATTAACTATTGAGTACAACTCAGGAAGGGACAAGAGTCTTTCCAAACCGATGAAATACTTGTTTTGAGATAAAATACTTCAAATAAATAAGAACCGAATCAACTTAGGGCTGCATCCTGTCAGAACACCAAGGGAAGGGTGGGAGAGGAGGGGAGGCAGTCGGCTGAAGGGACAGCTTTGTTTTGGTTTGAGAGCAAAGTTTTTGCAAACAAGTGGACTGTTGTTTAACCATTTAATGACCTGAGCTAAATACACAAAGCTTTTCTAAAAACATGAACCACGTTACAGGCTTGATTCTGAGAAAAAAACAAATAAAGTAGAACAAAGAAATCTAAATATTTGATTTCCTTTTATTAAAGGGTTTCTTTAGCGAGCCTTTTGATTCTGATCTACAAAGCCTTACTACTTTTTCAACTATATTTTAAAAAACAAACCTGTGGCCCGCGAGCGATTCTAACACGACAAGGCCCGCAAGAAAAAAAGTTCTTCTTTATTCTGGATTCTAAGACCCTCTTCTTGGACTGTTTTTAGACTTTTCTGCCATATCTTTAGTTACTGTAGCTACCTCCCAGAATACGATGGCCTCTTCCTTTAGATCTTGTGAACCAATCACTATCATGGATACACCAGATACAGAAACTCTAAGGATAACTACCAGACATTACAAAGTGTTATCCGACTCTGTGAACTCGTTTGGAAAGGGCTTGAATGTATCAAATGAATGAATATTTTATTTTTGTGTCTGGTCATTTACATGACACATACCACATAATAATAATAACTGAAAATCAACCTAATGTTTCAGGATGTCATTTTAGTCGGCATCAAAAACATTGTAAACATGAAAGACTCCCCAAATAATAACACAGCAAGAGGTGAGATACAACCAATACACACAACGACAAATAAGGTATACACACCAACACAGCCCCAGTACACATAAACAAAACTAATAATAAACTTCATGTTAGTACATCTGTAGTAAAGATCACTATTTGTTTCCTTTCACTTCCTCTCTTTTCCTACTGCACCTCCTTTAGTACACTTCCTGGTTTCTCACTCTCTCCTCTCCCCCTTGATTGGTTGTCGTTTGCACTCTGTCACTAATTAATTAGATTGAATTCACCTGCCTGCTCCTTATTTAAAACTGCACTCCCTTGCACTTGTGTTTTCATCCTCACATGGGGCGGCAGGTCAGCAATGCTGAGGTGGCGGTTACACTATTTTAGTTACTATCTCGTCTATTTTAATTTGTCCTCAGCACTTTATTTATCTTTATTTCCTTTCAGAGAGGAATGTAATTTGACTTGTTTATTGTACTTATATTATTTTATTTTGTCTTTCAGCATGGATGTTCAATCCCATGTGTGTCTTATGTTACCCTTATGATTCACCTAACTGGAAAGAAAATAAACCTGTTACATAAAAATCAAGTTTTGTTGGATTCCTGCATCCTGACCTGAAGCCCCCCATGGTGATAGCACCTCAAATTTGAATCCTTCTTTACAACATCAAAGTTTTCTTTTAATCCAGTTCTTAATCCAACATGTTGCATCATAAATAGAGTCTGAAACTTTATCTGTATTAAGATACTCTTCTTCTCTTTTCCCATGCTTTGAAAATGTAATCAGACAAAGCACAAACATCATCAATGAGGTTTCACTTCATGAGTTAGAGTGTATCTATTCAAGTCTCACACTCCAGCTTTAAATGACCACTGAACATGCTTTAATATTCTAGTAGTTTCAACAGAGGACGAACAGGTTAGGCGTGTTTAAGACAGGAGCAACAGAGGTCATCCAGTGATCGAGTCCCTGACAGCAGTCATACAGCATGCCCTCATAATTATACCTTTCATCCAGACACACTCTTTGAAAACATGCTATTCAAGGGACCAGTTTGTTTGAAGCTTCAATGGTCTGTTCACGAAACAATGGTTGCCACAAAAGCATCACCCGGGTGTTGTGCAACTCAATCAGGCTTATGTACACGGGGAGACAGCAGGCCCACACATGGACCCTTCACTAGACCTCTTAAAAGGTAATATTCCCAAATTGAATTTTTTTTTCTGCTTATCTTTTTAAGATGGAAGGTGAAAGTGCACTCAAGCATTCACTTCTCCACTCTGGTCCTTCATCATTACGACCTACAAAGCACTACAAGTTGGCACTCTGCACATCACAATCAAGCCTTTTTCTAAAAGTTTGCATGTTAGCTCAAACATGCTGCACAAACAAGACAAGACTGAGCCATTGTTCCGACTCTGCAAGCCAGTCTGAGGCACCTCGGCGAAAACACAGCATGGTGATTTATATTTGCCGGTTAGCTTACTAAGCCCTGGGTGCATAAATAACCAAGTCGATCTCATTTCCTGCCAACACAGTAGCCCTGTGAGATCAGTGGCTGAAGGAGGCTGCACTCCTGACTCCTGCTTGTAGTAAGGCGTCCTGAAGTGATCTTGAATGTGATTGAGGAGCTGAAGCTTACTGCGTTCAGCGTACATCCCTCCCCACTTTTTGGAGTCAGCTGAATGACCAAAATGCAGCATGTACAGATCGGCTGTAGTCACAGAGAGCTGCACCTTTAGCTCCGAGGCCAGGTGCTCCCAGCTATATTTACTGTGCCCATGTCAACTGGCACTCCACAGGGATTGCTATGATAAGAAAGCTCAGCGAGGCTTAATGTGTTTATTTCAGTCAGACTGTCAGTGTAAACACCTTCTGCCATTCAAACACACTTGAAGGAAGAGTAAAGTTTTGTCATCAGAGTCTTTCTGTGATGATTCCTGAAAGGAAATGTATCTTTGAAGGCAGAATAGAGTCTTATAATTATTGAAATACTGTTCTGCTCAAGGAGACATAAACACATGTGACATCAGATGATCAGATCAAATTAGAGCTGCCTGGAAAAAGCTGACATTTTGAATCAGCAGTTGAGAAGACCCCATTTTTCAGATGAATACTTCGTTAACACAAAGCACTGCAGGAGAAACAGCAGGGTATTCTGTTATCATCAGCGTTCAGTGATAGGTTTGTAGTTTTACAATTTATCTTTATGAAAATTATAAGCAAATTGTTTATATCCCTGTACCACAGACAAAGCTAAAAATGTACAAGCACTGTCCTGAAAACAGTCCTTGTGGCATGTTTGGCCATGCTTCATTATCTCTAATCAGCAGCGAGTACTGCCCCTGTGTCACCAATTTAATCAGAACTACCCGTGCCAGCTCCCAGTGGAAGTGGGTCATCGTCCAGTGTGTTTCAGTTGCTTACTCGTGTGTTTTCAACGCAGCCATATTGATCCCAACTGCACAATGCAATGGGAATAAAAAGCCACACAACTGCGCCTGCATGATTCATACATTCAGCAGCAAACCTGACGACAAACAGCCATACAAAAAACAGAAACTTGGAAAGCAGCATCGGGCTACAGTAGTCCAAACAAAACATGTCAGGGGGAGTTTTGACTGACAGAGATTGAGATGCAATCAATGGGCCTGACAAAGAAGTGATGCACAGCGTCACACTCTCTTTCAGTTTCAGCAGCAGTCTGATCTGGCAGATGTTGAAAGACCTGTCAGAGGTTTCTCCAAAGAAGAGAATCATCTCTTTGTTTCATGTGCACACACACTTACGTGATGCATACACAAGGGCATGAATCAACCCAAAAAATGCACATACAGTGTAAACACATGCACACAAGCCCATGCAAGCACACATTTTATCTAATGTCATAATCTGCAGACTTGTTGTAGTGTTTCATATAAACACAAATTCTAGTCAGCACAATACACACAGGCACAAGTAGCACTGCCTGTTCACATCAGCACAAAACAATCATCTAAGAAACTAAGCGATATTGAAAACATCCATGCAACACCCTCTTTTTACTTCCACATCCAGTCTGTGGTGAATCACACCTTTAGCAAAAAACCAGCAAAGCCCAATTGTACTGCAGCTCCTTCACCTCTTAATATGTGATGAGCTGCAGAGATAGCTGATATCAAATCGTAGTCCTTAACACTGAGAGACTGCAGGCCAAATCCATAGTGTGGTAGCAAACGGTAGCAGCAGGTCCTGGCTGAAGCGCCGGCTTCTCGGAGTTTGTGAGTAGTTTGCTGCTGCTGCTGGCTCATATGACTGAGAGTCCCTGTGTGCAGTCAGCTAAACGAGCTAGCAGCTCAGGCCGGCTCTGCGGCTCGACTTGTTAACTTGCACAGTGCACAGCAGCATCACAGAGAGAAGGGGGGGGGGGGAGCGCTTTGACTGCAGAGTGGGCAGGGCTAGCATTATGTGTTCTACTTCTTAAAGCAGCCTTTATTAGAAAAAGGAGGAGGGTGTTTGAGGTGTATTTGGACATAAATAGACATCACTAAGACTTTTAAATGAGAATAATTAGAAGGCAGACAGAACAACAAATACTCAGAGAATGAAACCAGGGGGGATAGAGAGAACTAAACCAGAGGGAACATGCAGAGAGAGAAGATGAAGGATATTTAAATTCTATAAGAAATTAAATAATAATAAAATTAAAGAACATTGATGCGTTGTTACCATGTTTCCTTTCAGGATTTTATTTTGTATTTTTTAGCCAAACTCTATCCCCAATCACTGACTGTCATTGAAGACAGTGCCCCCTACCATCTTGACATTGTATTTTAAAACACTTCAGCTGACAGGTGAAACATTAGCATGTAGCGTTTGGATGCATCGCATGTATAGATAAAACGTTTTTTTAATTATTTATTGTGCTTCAAGCCATGTTTTGAGTTTATTGTCCATTGTTATGACACCTGAATTTACTCCCAGGATTAATTAAGTCTTTCTGATTCTGATGACGACAACAATAAGGCCCAGTGTCCACCTTTTTTTTACGACATTGTGCCTTTCTTTTTAGAACTTTTTAGAAAGGCGCTGTTGATGTCATTGCCGCTATTTTCAAAATGTTTAATCTTTCCTGTATGGAAGACAATGTGGAAGACATTTTGTACCCATATAACCAAAACGCAACCACACCGTGACGGTCATACAGTGAGTATATCATATTTAAATATCTGGTAGAGGACAACATAGACTGAATAAAAAGTAGAAAAGCAAGAAATTGTGAACCTAGTATAGCTTCAGACACTTCACTGAAATCATTAGAGTAGGTCGTGACTAATACATAACATATCAGTCGACTGTAAAGTGAACTGGTAGAGCTGCAAAAGTTTTGGCTGCAGAAACACCAGACCATAATAGCAAGTTTCCATCTAAACACGTATTTAGCACACAAACAAATCATCCCACTTTGACCCAGAAGCATCACTTACATTCTTCAGCTTTCGGCTGCAGTCACTTCCCCTAAAAGAGAGAGAGAGAGAAGGTAAGACTTCTGGTGTTATTTAATGAAACAAGTTACATAAATATATCAGCAGACAACTTTCAACTAACAAACACCCACACACATCCATGCTGCCAAAACAGAACTTCCTGCTTATTTAGAGGCATCTAAACTGGCTTGACCACAAATGTAGAGAACTAAACAGTCTAACAGAGTTACAGTTTGTTGTGTGGTACTTTATTTCAATGGCTGCACTTTGTAATCTAATATATAAACTTCACAGATGAGAATATTTGTTTAAATTCATTTAGAGAGCCTCGAGAGAAAGACAAGAGCAGACATCAGTCACGGTTGTGGACTGACTGCCAAATGATCCCCGTGAGGTGGAGGGAAGAAAACACCACAGCAGCAGCCACTTAGCGCCACAGACGTAGCCAAAATGAAAAGATGTGTCTTGCGGGTCACCACCTAAAGCTATAAACGGGAAGTTGAACTGACCACAATAGACACTTGTGTGTTGTGAATATAAACATCCCTCTAGGCCAGGGGTCGACAACCTTTTCTACCAAAAGAGTCTTTTTTACCCGCAGCTGCTCACAAAAAAAACAAAATAAAACATCTGAAACTTTCAATGGAGTTTATGCATCCTCTTTAAGACCATTCACATTACTAATATATTTAAATGAGCATTCATTTATATTTTGCCAAATTACATGCAACGACGTTCTTGAACCCTGACAACTTTCGGGGTTAAAGGCAGCACCCTGCAGACCTGTGCGCTCGCCGCTCACCTTTCTCTTCAGTCAGCCCTGATCTCAGATTAGTTTTTGAGGTCAGAGTTTGGATGCTCTGATATTTTATTAAATGTTTCTTTCATGGGGTGCGGTGGTTGCGCAGTGGTTAGGGCGTGCGTCCCATGTGTTGAGACTCTCATCTCGAGTGGTAGGCCTGGGTTCACTTCCACCCGTGGCCCCCTTCCACATGTCATTCTCCACTCTCTCTCTCCCTGGTTTCCAACTCTATCCACTCTCTCCGCATTAAAGGCACGAAAAGCCCAAAAATAAGTCTTTAAAAAAAAAAAAAGTTTCTTTCATGTTCTCCTGGTCTGTGAAAGTCTCCCACAACTTACGATTTGCTGAGCCGCCACAAAACTTGCAGCAGTCGGGGAGTTAAATGGAGTTAAATTAATCTGTTTCTGAAAAGTAGATTCACTCTGCTCTGCTTCCTGCAGCAGTGAAGAAATCATTCTCTCTCTCTCTCTCTTTCCAAGGCGGATCGGGTCCCACAATGCATTGTGTTTGTTCGAGAGAATTTGCAATCTAATTTCTGACAACAGATCGCCTCCTGGGAAAGGACAAACTCTGAGCCGTTGAGGCAGGACATGACGCACATTTACGTTGAAGACAAATGAATCAATAATAACAGTAGCCTCTTAATTTAATGAAGGGACAAAAATCAAAATCTTTCACATTTAAAAAAAAGCCACAGGGAGCCACAGGAGAGGGGCAAAAGGCTTACATGTGGCTCCGGAGCCGCGGGTTGCCGACCCCCGCTCTCATCTAATAAAAGAGATTTGGCAAAACCAGAGAAATAACTCCACAACAAGAGAGGGAAACTTTTAGACTTGGACACCTGTGTTAGACTAAACTTAAGAAAAACCTTCATATCACCTCTGTTCATGGCGGGGAAGGCTGTTTTGGTGATGTGTTTGATATGTTGGTCAAAGGAGAGGGTTTGATCGAAGATGACACCCAGGTTAAATCAGATTTATAAATTAATGAAGACTTCACGATTAGTTTAAATTGAGAGTTCTCATTAGACACAGAGAAAATGAATAAAGTCCCCTCAGTCGTCTGGAGAGAAAGAAGTGTTTCAGTTTTGCAGCATTAGAACTGCATATCAATGGGCGCTACATTGACTTGAGTATCCCGGTTATGAGCATCATCCCGGTTTTGATCATATTTGGGGTTAACATGTGGTACACAATGCAGAAAATAAAAGAGGGTAAGGTTTCTTTAATGTCTGATAAAAGCTAAAACAACATCTGCTAAAAAGAGTTGTATTTATAGAAAAGAGGAAATATTGACTCATGTATTTTTTCTCTTTTTTAACAGTGTACATTATGGGACTGTTTATGACTACTTTCCAAAGCCCGAGGGTCCCAAACCCCCGACTCATTCAACACACAGGTGACGCCCGGATTAGAGTTTGGTGAGTTTTCCATGACAGCAGTGACATGACAAAGAGGGGAGTGAAAGACGAGTCGATCAAGGTGAAAGAAAGCTGGAGGGATCTGTTAACCTCCCTCTCTTCCTCCCAATCATCCTCTTTTTTTTTTCTGAGCTGACTAAATAAACAGAGTGACAGGTTTCCTTTCTCTACCGAGACCTTGAAGAAACAGATTCCACAACATATTACATCATCATTTGGTCTCTGCTCCTCGTCTCCCTAACAGTCAGATTTCTTCATTTAAGTCCTATCAGTCTGAAACTGAAAGATTGATGTCGAGGAATAAGTATTTCCAAACTGTGTTTTGATGCAGGGCAACCAGCTTGTTTGTTTTTAATCACAAAAAATGTCAATACAGCTGTGGAAACTCAACATTCAGAAAGAAACCGCTTGAACATGTCCCAGGCAGGCTGCATGTTATGTGAGTGCAAACAAGTATTGATATTATTATTAACCTTGGTTTTGAATGTCTTGCTGACAGTAAAGAGCAATAGCATCTCATTACTTGATCATTAATGAAGTCCTGGTGGACCTCTGCTTCTGGAGGACTTCTCTTTTTCACCCACTGAGACAAACTGATTTGAATTAGTTTTTAATTCTTTGCATCATGAAATCTCTCATCTTTGTGTGATTTCCTTTAGAACGGAATACAAACACAGTTTCATTAATTCTTCCTGGTAAACTGTAACTTCTCTTGAAACCGATCTGTTTCCATCAACACTCAAAGGAGCGGGAGATATTTCCGGCCTGAGCTCATAGTGTACCTGAACCTGCCTGTCAAAAGCAATTCTCTAGATGAGTAAACACCTGTCCAGAGACTCGGGGGCGGGGGGGGGAGTACCGATTCGGCTTCCCGTCATGGGTACAAGCTGCAAGGAAAAAAGCATCCTGTCCGACAGAGGATTACATAACAATTGGAAATAGCAGAGGGCTGCCAAGATAATGACACCAAAGTTTCCTTTTCAGACTTCAGATGGATGACATCTCGAGAGAGATTCATATTGTTCAATGTGATGTATTTCCCTCAACAGAAAAAGGCAATCTATAAAGGCTAAGATGAAGATTTGCTTTGCTTTGCTTTTCCAGACATGGAAAATGTCAGAAAACAGAAGAATAACCATTTACTACATGAAACATCTTACAATCTGTCATCATTTGTGTAAATACATCATTCTGTCTTCTATAGATCAGATACCAAAAGTGCAACTGGCTCAAGTGGTTCCTGTTCTGTTTTCTCATTTTGAGGTCACTTCGATATAAAGTTTTACTCTTCTTTTAGGTGAAGAGTTTGTCTTCCTATTGTTGTTTGTTGTTTGTTGTGTTGATATTGTGGGGTAGTTTCTGTATTTAAAAGTCAGTATGAGGCTGACCGTCCTCAGAGAACAACTGTAATGTCTTCTCTCTGTGCCTCACAATAAGCTTTTCTGACTCATCACAACGGATTTCTACTTATTCCTTATTATTCCTGATAATTATATTCCTGTTTCTTGAGCTGTTGTGACAAAAAAATGTGCCCCATGGGGGATCAATTAAGTGTATCTTTATCTTTATTCAGAGAACTAGCAAATCTCATATTTTTTGGAAGAAATTTATCTCACAAACTAAATCCTGTGAAAAAAAATGTTGTATTGCAAAATGTAAAAGCAAAAAGTTGGTAGGAGAGAAAGAAGGAATACACTTTGCAAGCTGCCTGACACAACATCATCCTACCAGTAATAAATCACAAAGCTTTTTATCAACCACTTAATCATCACTTCTCAAACACAAACTGAAGCCAAGCAGCATCACTTCTTCTCTGCTGCCGTGGGCTTCTACATCAAGAATAAACACTCTGCAATTCAAAGAAAGTTCTGCATCCCTCTCTCAAACTGTTTGGACGTTTGAGTCAGTACACCTTCATAGGTCAGTCTGATAGAATAGGATACAGTAAATCTTTTAAAGGGCAGTGATGAACAGTAGCTTGAGCACACAAATTGTTAATTTGAATTTCTCATTTGACCATCAGTAAAAAAAAAAAGCCATCTTCAACAAGTTACCCAACAAACGTAAACGTCATAATTACGGTAACAGAGGATTAGCTGTTTGTTCCAAAAAAGGACATTAAGAACATGACCTTGGAATGAGCATCTTAGGACCAGTTTAAAAACATTTTAAAGACCAAACATGAGACAATCTGGGAAATAACTGGAATTAAAATAATGTAAAGTCAGAAGAATGTTTACTCTTATAAACTTGCAGCCTGCTCAGAAACAAAGTGTGCACACATGAAACAAACACACACACACACACACACACACACACACACACACACACACACACACACACACACACACACACACACACACACACACACACACACACACACACACACACAGCAGTGTTTTCAAAGAATCCTTGTCCTGCCAGAACCAGTCTTGCAGCTCCTCTTGGGACCGGCTAAGATAAGAGTTCTCTCTCTCTCTCTCTCTCTCTCTCTCTCTCTCTCTCTCTCTCTCTCTCTCTCTCTCTCTCTCTGCAGCACCTTTCACCGTGTTGATGCACAACCATGAGGACAGCACATGCTTACACAGCGACACACCCACACATTTACATAAACACATACTGTATATATAAAAACATGCACTTGGCTTTGTTACCAAGCAACAAAGGAGCCGTGGTTGAGCGAGTGATGTAGACCTTTTTGTGTTTTGTTTGGACAGAGACCAGTTGTGTCTAACAGATAAGCTGTTGTTGCCTCACTGACACACGCTTTATAAACTTCCATTGACTCTCAGTTATTTATTTACGTTGGCAGTGAACCGGCCGATTGTTCCATGCAGAGAATGACGGACAGGGTGACTGAGGGAGAGTGACACTTAAAGAAGCACACAGCCAGTGATACAGACAAAGTCATTTATTAACACACAATTCAAGTGGTCCATCCACTAGAAACACACACGCCCTCATTCATAACTTAGTTTTCTATAACATGCATAAAGCTCAAGATCAGCTGCTAACTCACAAGGAAACTCTTTATTTAAAAAATGCCTTCATTGTCATGAGCGATCTTAAAATAAACTCAGACACGTGTCGTCAACTGCTGCTCCCAAGGTCAAGCTTAAACTATGAACATCAAATTTCAGGGAAACAGGGAGAATATTCAGTTCCCTGGGTAAAGTGAGTAACACTTTCTTCTAAAGGCCCTGACACACCAAGGAGATCGCCGGCCGTCGGTACTACTTGGACCGTCGATGAGCGATCGTCGCCCTAGTTTTTGTGGTGTGTGTCCAGCTCCGTCGAGACCCGTCGGCCCCTGTCTACCTTTTTTTCAGCCGATTCGACATGTTGAATCGGCATGAGGAATCTCTGGATTTTTTTCCCTCCCTCGTGTTGTTTTTTGTTCCTGTCAGCAGTTCACTGTACAGAGTTCATTTTCTAGAACATTCCTGTTTAAAAAAAACTCCCTTTTGCACTATTTAAGACGAGAGAGAATATATGTTGCATTGCAGGCAGCGAGCAGCGTTGAACTGCTAGTCTAACAACGATGATTTTAAATGTATTTTAAATATGTATTTAAAACCTTTTTTTTATTGGCTGTTCGGAGGTTTCATGTAACTCCAGCTCTCCTCACAGGTTCAGTAAAGCCCCTTGAGCATGCCGCTGTAGTACCCATGCTTTCACCCATTAGTGCTGTTTCTCCTTAATGGTCGTCTTGCTCTTCTTTTCTTTTTCCACTAAAAGACCAAGGGGCTGACAACGCCAGCGCCATTTTCAACTTTTTATCAGACATTATTCTCCATTAGAAGTACCTATGTTGTGAGTGGTGACCGACAAATGGTCTTCTCGTATCATAACAACGGACTACCGCCGCCTGTTATTTCCTCTCACGCATGCATAGAACGTATACGTGGTGGTTGGTTGTCGGCTGTTGGCCGCCCTCTATTTCAGCTCTGCTCAGAACAGGCTGTTTCTGTGTCTGTACCTTTAAATATGTAAATGAGCTGTGTCTGACCACGCCCCCTCTCTGGAAGGGCTTGGGTGTACTTGGTCTTTCTCGCTCCATGTCCTATTGTTTACGGTGAGAAGGCAGAACAAACACCTAGCTGTGGGAGTGTCACCCACCTGGGGGAGGGGCTACTGCCCTTTGTGATGTCATAGATCGGACAAGGAAATGAAATTTAAAAGAAGCCTCTTGAACAGTAAATTAACAGATATATTTATTTTTGTGTTAGTACATTATTTAATATAAAAATAATGAATGAAAAAGGGTTGTTACCCAAGTCTGTCTCTTTGTTAATGTTTATACATCTTCAAATAATAGTAAAAGTTATTTCCTTTACTAGATCCTTCTTTAAAAAAAAAAACACAACTGTGGGTCCAGAAGCGTGAATGAAATAAATAAATAAACAAACAAACAAACAGCCATTGAGTAATAAAAAAAACCCACTAAAGCTTTGGTTCTTACTTGACGGTGGGGCGTGTCGACGTGTCCTGCAGGTCTCCAGGGTCGAACAGCTGGGAGCCTTTCAGTCCCAACTCCTCACAGCCACGCAGAAACACACTGAGGTTGTCCTGCACAGAACACACACACACACACACACACACACACACACACACACACACATTATCACCAGGATATATTGATGTTGGCAGAGGCTCAAGGCAAAGTGAGGTCAGGTCGTAAAAGTGCTGCTCAAGGTCTTAACTCAAACACAACAAAGACGCACACTTTCTTTTTTTCTGACTCAGTTTAAATCATACAGAAACTAACTACTATACAAGGCTGCAAAGAAAAACAAGTTTGACTTATTTGTACACATCATTAATTCAAACACACCAACAAACTCACAGCTGATGAATTAACCCTATACACACACACACACACACACACACACACACACTATAATTACACACTCAGTACACAGTATCCTAATCTTAAACTTATACTTGACATAATCCAAATACTGATAGGAATGCACATTATTGAATTTTGGCTGGTATCTAATATGACATTATGTCTTGACTTACTGCATATACATATTTATTTATATATTTATCCTCTTGATATAAAAAAGGATTTTAAGTCTCTTTTGCCCGTCTTCTATTCACCATCATCTTCCCTTTTCACCATCTTTCAGACGCGTACCACCACCTAAGGTTATCAAAAATGTCCAATACTTTTCGATGCCACATGGTTTGAAACTTTGCAATCTCCATTTTTTTCATCATCAAGAGTATCAAAAGGAACTAAAGCATTAAAAAAACTACAGAAGTTCAGACATTACTTTTAACCAAAAGCTGCTGCGAGAGGAAGACAGAGAGCGCCGTCTCAGTTGCATGAATACTTTCCCTATCGAAACATGGCCAACGTATTTGTGCAATTTAGACAGTGTGCAGAAGTTCACCTGCATTTTCTTCGTAATAAAAAAAGAATTGCCCAATATTTGGTGCCTAGTACTTCTATTCTTTTTGTTTGAAACCAGTGTATGGTTTGATTTTGACTCGTATTATATACAAGTTTAAAGTTCTAGTATTGTGACAACATCCAGACAACCACCTGCTGCATTATGTTTTTAATCAAATGAATAAAGATCTAATGATAGTCCAAGGCTTGCAATGCATTCTTACAAATAATGTGAGACTTTATCGATCTGTTAAGGTTTGTGTCCACAGAAGTCCTGTGAGCGCTTTAGTTTCAGAGCACTAATTGTTGCTAAGTTACGAGCCTTAACTTCTGCATCCCTCAGTCGTGACTGGTCCGTCTGTTTTAATCGCTCCATGGGCTTCAAATCTTCCTTTATTCAAGGACATATCGCCAAGAAACATGAAAACAATGTAAAGGAATCATGTACCCTCGATGAGATGAGTCAGATTATCTTATCGTCTGCCATTGATGTTGACAAAGCTGATATCAGAAGTCCCGCCCCTTCTCAATTCTGTTCTGGTCAGTGAGGGTAAATATGGAATCAGTTTAGTATTGAAAACGAGCGCTGACAGTGAAAAAACGCTGTCTGTGGACACAGGTCCTTGTTGACAAATACGTTCACTTTGGGCCAATAGATATGTTATTGTAATAAAAGGCTTCACTGTCAGGTATCTAAGATGTGCTAATGTCAATCTTTGTCAATAACAAAACATCAGACCTATGAAGGTAGTTCTATGTCATGTACAATAATGTGTTCAATGTAAAGGAATGACACCTTTAACAGGTTTAAGAGAACTCTCTACTCAACTAACTTAATTTGAGGTACTTTATTTTTAGTATACACACACACACACACACACACACACACACACACACACACAGAAACACGGATCTTTCAAGGTTTCGGTTGGATAAACATCACACACACTTTGTCCATGGAAGCTGAAGTACACCTGCATGAAGTTAAAAGGGTCCAAGAAACTTATTAAACAAGGATTCATTCTTCTCTTTTGCCTTCATAGAAACCCACAAACGAATAAATAGAACATGAAAATCAGGATACCTGCTAGACGGAAACATGACACCAACAGGTTGTTGTGACCAGCTCTCTCATACGTCTCCTCTCTCAGATTACTCCAACTTTCACACTACACGTTTTCCCTCCTTCAAGTGTCTCCTGCTTCCTTTTTCTCTCCTCCTCCACCTGTGCCACTCAACCGTTTTCCTCTCTTCTCCTCTGCCTTTTGCTCTCTCCTCATCTCAGTCCGACTCTTTGTTGGATGCAACCTGAGCTGAGCTCTCCTCTCCTGTTCCCAGGTTCTCTCTCTCTCTCTCTTTGTCTCTACATCTCTCAGATAAAGCCCTTCCCTCTCTCTCTCTCTCTCTCTCTCTCTCTCTCTTACGGGTGTCAACATTTCCTTTCCACCCTGATTATCCAAAGCGTTCTTTCTCCATCTATCTCAGACGACAAAACACAAATATACAACGCATTTGTATAAATAAAACACATTATTTTTTTTACATATTCTTTCTCATAATTGCTCGGATAAACATATCAACTGGATTTATTTATTTGTATGTACGCACTGGCTGGTGTAGGAACACATGCACTCTACTTGGAAACACTTGTTCTCATGATCCTTTCCCATCTGTTACAAAACACCCCATCTGAACCCACCCTGCAGCTTCCTGTGTTTTTGGGACAGAGCCATCTCTGCGCTCCTGGTGAGGCAAACCCACCCGCCCACAACACACACACACACACACACACACACACACACACACACACACACACACACACACACACACACACACACACACACACACACACACACACACACACACACACACACACACACACACACCAAACACACAAGGCCATCTCTTCTTTTGACAGTTCTACTCCAGGGAGGACACGCCTACAGTGGGATTAACTGGGTCTCATTCACACACTGCAGGGAAAGGTCATTTCTGACCTCAACAAAAAAGTTTAGTTGAGTTGCAGTTCATGAAAAAAGAGTGTGGGTCTATTCAATAATATGTTCCAGGGAAAAGAAATAAACAGTCAGACGGACCCATAGAGCATGTTTGAAAATACAACACATATACTTCTAATAGTAAACACAAAGAAGGAACTGTTGAGAAGCTGCAGCCAGGAGCTGAATTGGAATCTGTTGGCGTTCACAACAACTTTAGTTTTAGGGAAAATGTAACTCTATAACTTTTGCAGGTCAACGACATAACCTCCACACGGACTGGAATCACAAACACGGAAATAAACAACAAGGCAACAACAGATTAAACAGGATCGTTATTCAGTAGCAACTTGCGTAACGGAAAGCAAGATAATTTACAGGGTGTTAGAGGTGTGTGTGTGTGTGTGTGTGTGTGTGTGTGTGTGTTTGTGGTGGTTTGCAGGTCACTGCCACAGGAAACTGGGCGTCAACCGCAAAGAATGACTGACGGCTGAATGTGGTTGTTTATTGTTTTTTCTTAAATGATCGAGAACGACAGGGTGACTCTAACACAAAGCGTCAGTTGAAGTCATAATACAATTTGGAGAAAGTCATTCCTGCAGTGCTGAAGTTAAAATCATTAAGGGCCATCTAAATGATGTGCCATTGAAAATCCAGTCAAAACATACGGTTAGTTTAAAATGAAAAGTTGAAGGATTATTGAGGATTAGCAGTCAATAAAAGTGTATAAAATACCAACAGCTTAAGAACTACATAACAGCTTTGTAAGGACACTTAGTGTAGTTTACTTACACATGGGTGTGTGTGAGCAAATGTCCCTGTGATCCTGTCAACACAGCCCTCATGTAATCAATGTCCGACTGCTATGATTAGATTAGACCGGCTGACTTTCTCAGGGAAGAGGTTCAGTGTTCCTGCCCTGATTTTGGCGCCTGACAGAATTCAGGGGAAAGCTGCCCAGGGTGAGGAAACAAGCCGCTTACTTAACAAGATATGAGACCGATTATTTTTCTCACTGTCAAGGATCACACCCATAAAATAAGAAGGTTAAGGTGTAAAATCAACCATGCTGCGCTCCGCATCAAGGTAGATCTGAAGCCCCACCTCATATCCCGCTACAACCTGCTTCAGTTCTACTCCAGTACCCCTCAAGCTTAACTGCAAAGTTATTGTAGAGCGTAGAGCGGGGCTACTGTAGGGTTCACAGCACCTTCTTGGACGCATAACGGTTATTTAGGATAATGGGAAGAGGTGATATCTGAGTTGAGAGCAGAGCAGCATTGAGGAGAGCGACCTGGAGCAGATCTGGGTGAGGCACTGCTCCAGGTCGCTCCACAGCTCCGCTAGTGAGAAGCAGAGATTCTCACCAGACACATCTGGTAACATGTTTTTTTTTGATAAAACAAAAGATGATGTCTAGGCTGGCGTTGAATCTCTGCTAATCCACTTTAAAACGAAACTCCAAGTAAGTTGAACATAGTCAGGACTAACGGGTGAAACCGTCCTGAGGAAGAGAATCTATTTACCGACAGGCTATGTATCCAAGTATGAATAACATGCTGTTTTTAATCACAGGAGCACATACAGCAACAGAACGGCAGCTTTTCGTAGCAGCTCACACTTCCTTTTACAACATCCAGTGTTTCCATGGCAACCATAAACATGTCGTGGCTGTCATTGCAGCCGCCGCGACAAGACACGTCCCGTTACAACTATAAAATGTAGATATTTCAGTGTAAATATTCAACATATCGTCTCTTTAAAACAAAATATTAAAGTTGAAACAGTCCCAAAGGTTTTTTTGTACACGTCCCAAAAAGTAGCACAAATGCCTGTCGCTCTAAACTCGACGGCAGGAAAACAACAGTTTCTAAATGTGAATTACTACCGTTCATGTTGCATGGCGCTCACCACCGCGTGTCCCAGACGACTGGGGAACAGAGCACGCAACAACCGACCTGTTCAGACGAACACTGAGCACATACAGGCCGAGGTAGCTGCTCTCTAATTGCAAAACAGCCGAGGCTCCTCAGAGACTCATTTTCCCATTAGCCACCAAACAGGAAGAGGAAGGGGGAGTAGCCTGTGTTTTATTACGATGGGCCAGATAACAGTGGAGCCCTTGTTTATGTGTTTTCTCACCTCTCTAATCAAAGCCGAGAGCATGAAGAAAAAAGAAATCCCTGCAAAGCAACAGGAAGCTCAAGAAACGGAGTTCTGAAACTGTTCAGAGGGTTGAATTGTTTAGTCTGGAATCAAACCAGTCGGTATGATTACTCTTTTAGCTTTTATATGTTTTTTTAAAATGTATTATTTGATGTGTTTGACAGGCATTGTTTAAAATGCCAGAGAGAGGAAAGAAGGACTAAGATGAGGAGAGAGTAAAAGGCAAAGAAGAAGAGACAACGATTGGGGGGACACAGGTGGAGGAGGAGAGAAACGCTAATGAAACATCCCCAACGATAAAAACCACAAACATGTGGCCCCCTGGGGGGGGGGGGGGGGGGACGCTGCACTGAGGATATAGTTCTCCAAGCGGGTGGCCTTTCCCTGTGTCATTCCCCACACTCTCTCTCTCTCTCTCTCTCCCCAATTTCCAACTCTATCCACTGTCCTATCTCTACATTGAAGGTATAAAAAGTCAAAAGCCCTCTACAAAAATGTGCCTCATGAACTGGTGAACAAAACTCTGTACTTTAAGAGATAAGCAAGTGTTGGCATTTACCGTTTCCACCTGCCATCATTATCACAGACGAGAGAAAAACTACTAGCAGGAAAAGTTTCAATTCAAAACTTCCCTCTATTATTTTGGCAGATTCCATATTTGTTTTAAATCTGATAAAGACTGCCCTGATGGATCTCACAGCCCCTAAATCAAAAAAAAACCAAAACACATATTTGACGAGCAGAAAAGATGAACTGATTAGAGTCCATTAGGAAAGAATAATAAAAGATAGTACAACCAGATAAAGCTGAACGAAGGAATTCAAAACTCAAACAGGCAAAAACAAAGCAGCAGATTACACAGTTAAGTCATTTAGCAAACTTTGGTGAGCTCTGAAGCTCGTTGCTTTAAAAAGCTCTTACAGCATAGTCAATTGTTGTTCTAGCAGCGATTGTGTGACGGAAGGAAAGGGCTTGTAAAAAAAATGTGGCTGTGAAATTATCCACCACTTGTTAAAGCCAGAAAAAGGCTCATTGGCAGCCATTAGTGACGCCAAGCGATAAGAAAAGCCATTCCAGCCCAACTCAGACTTCCTGTCAAGCTTCCAACCCAATAATTCACAGCGCCTCTTACATCTTTCTTTTTTTTTTTTCACAAAAAGCTCAAGATCTTTTGGCCTAATCACCTGTTCCCCTCCTCTTGGATCACATCACCACCTCCTTTTACTGAGTTACTGCATTCAATCTGAATGTGTACCTTTCAGTGTGATTAATCAAACAAGACCACCTGCCAGTGAATTCAAATGATTGACTCCATCTGATTTGCCCTGTATCTGATTTATGCCGACTTTTTCAATATCATACAAATGAGCAAAACTTATTTGCTTTAAAATACAAGATGGAAGTTGACATGTTTTAGAGAGAAATAACCATCAGAAAATGTTTGTGTAACCATATTATAATGTGTGCTGTACACAGACCTACAGCCTTAACAGTCCTACTTTACATTTGAATCTACAAAGTATCCGTGACGCTTCTTATGCAGTCTTGTAGAATTTCTGACAGCTTTCTACAAGACTGCATGCATATTAAAGAATTCTGGACATTCAACTGAGAGTGGGTTTGTAAGGAAAAAGAGATGAAAGGAGATTTAGATTGAGCGCCGTTGCTTTTTTAACTTTCAGGGTTCCTCTGTTTACGTGTCGGTCCTGGTCCTGAAAGGTCACTTCTTCCAGATCAAGGTCTGAGGTGGCCCTGAAAGGGGTTTACTGTAGTGAACTGTACTCGAATGAATTGTGTCAGTGTTCAGGTTGACTAATATTCAAAGGCTCTAATCCAAAACAGGATGAGGTGGTGGAGGTAAGATCTTAAACTCAAACCAACAATATTATGTAAATAACTGGCTCAGGTTTTATGGATCCAGAAAAAAAATATTCCTGTTCAAAAGAAAAATACTTTTTGATGGATTCAGAGAGTCAAACGTATTTTGTTTGTCAAAGAAATATGATCAAGTTGCATTATGTGACACTGGATTATAGACTATTGCCTGATGTTGGGATCAATAGCGTTTTTTCAAATAAAATGATTCTCTGATGAACCGTCTTGGGGCGCACTCGAGGCAATCCGTACCTGGTTGTATCCGACTAAAATGACTCAAAATAAGCGACAGAGTCAGTAAATGCAGTCGTACTCTCTGTGTTGTTCTCCGATGTGCTGACACGGACTAGACTGCGAGTCCCCCTTTTTTTTTTTTTTTTGAGTCGGTCTGCGTTGTATCCTAAGCACGCTTCATGAACACGTTAAGCCATTCATGTGTTGTTAGTCCTGGAGCAGTGGAGTGCAGGCCAGCGGGGGAATGGGGAGGGGGGGGGGGGGGGGACCAACATGCCTCAGCACAGTGCGGAGCAACTTTGCCTTGTGTGAGTGCGCCCTTATTGTACTTTGAGCCATCAGGGGCTCAGTGTCACACACAGCTGATGATGGCCACCTTCCCTGTTAGAGCTGGAATTGAGAAGTTTCAGCTTCAGGTATTTAAACCCGAAACACTAAAGCTGGACGCAGTATCTTCTTTGAGGCTTTCAAGATGTGATTGTAGAGAAGGGGGCTCATGTGTTCCTCTAATTAACTTAATTAATTGTCACAGGTTCCTCATGTAGTGAGAAAGTACTCTGCAGTATAAAGTCCTTATTAGCAGTGTTTTAAAATATTGAATCCTTGCAGTGCAAACACACAAGTATGCTTGGATCTTCCGACTGTTTCTTGAACTATAAAAAAGTTCCTCTGGACCTCTATTCCTTGGCACATGACTATTTAATTTAAAATGCATCACTAAAGTCATGATACGACTTCTGCACCTTTAAGAAAAAGCTAAAGACCCAGCTCTTTCATGAATACCTACTAACTTAATGATGATGGTCTCCATATTATTGATGATGATGATGGTAATGACGATGGTTTTGTTTGATAACGACGACTTATAAGATGGTTTCTATACTGATTAGAGCTCTCAAGAACTGCCCTCAATGTTGTGCTTTGCCTCTGGTCACTTCCTGTCAGCACCTGTGTGTCCAATCAGACTCAAAGCTGATCGTTTGCTCTTACTCACATTGTTCCCTTTTTTCTAGATCCTTGCTTGTGTTGTTCTTACTCTCTGATGTACGTCGCTTTGGATAAAAGCGTCTGCTAAATGAATTGTAGATACGACTTTGACAAAGACTGTACCAAGATGGTAAACTGAAAATTCATCTCACACCTTAAAAAAAGCATAACGAGGACACAAACTAATAATGAAATAATGAATCTATATGATTTCATACTTTATATCAAAGATCTGGAGCATGACAAGGTTGTATCAAATATCAAATCAATCAAGTAGATGGTAAATGGACTTCTTGAGCTTGTATAGAACTTTTCTAGTATTCTGACAACTCAAAGTGATTTTAGAACGCATACCACACCATCATATTCACACACTGATAGTATGAGGCTGCGATGTAAAGTGACCATCAGTATTAAACAAATCCATTCATTCACATTCACACGCCGCTGATGAAGCAGCTCCCACTGAGCCACAGCTGCCTGTTCAGTACAACCTTCATGACAGGTCAAGTATTTAGTCTTGCACTCCAATCGAAACAAATGCTCAAAAACAAGGTTTTAACATTAGACAGCGACTGTCTAAAGTATCCCTCGAGATGAAAACAGAAGGGGGGGGGGAATGAAAAGACACAGGCAGAGGAAACAGATCCAAGACGACTAAAGATTGTCTGTTGTTGAAATTCTGAGGATGAGTGAGGATGGAGGACTTACCAGGCCAGCTATCGGTGTTGGAAGTCTGTTAATTTTCTTCACCAGGCCGGGTTTAATAGAGCTCAGCAACCTAACAAAAGACACAAAAGAAAGACGACATGAAAAACTGAGTCATGTAAAAACCAAAGGAGAGCTCTGTTTTACAATCTGGCCTTCATGACGAGCTAAAATAAATATTTCATAGAAGAAAACCCAGCAGAGTAAAGTACCTGCAGGCAAGAGAGCTCAAGTGTGTGTGAAACTGTTTGCATCTCTTCAGAGAGAAGAGAGGGGGGAGGTGGGACACAAAGGGAGCAAGAGACGTTTGAGGGTTCCCAGAGTGGAGCCTGGAAGGTTTATGACGAGACAGATCCTAAATCAGAGTTGAGAATCAGTGCTGTGCTCTTCCAACCCGCTGGGAGCAGTTAACTGGTTCCAGTTCACCTCATACAACAGTGAACTATGAGAAGAGGTCGGTCCTTGTGCTGTCTTTGCAAACACACAAATAAAGTTACAGTATCATCCTGCACCTGGGAAGACTCATCATCAGTCATGAACAAGCAGTGTCAGCGCTTCCTGTATCTCCCCCCCACACACACACACAGCTCCAGTTTCATCTTTTGTGAGTGTTTTCATCGGAGGAAGCAGTGTAATGACTCTGCCCCGTAGAGGGGAAACCCGGCCTTGGAAGGCATTACAGTATTAGGTATCCGCGGCCGTGTTAAGTTGAAGGCATTCCAGCGGGTATTTTGCAATGAAATGCTGTAACTTAACCTTTTAAGCCCTTTCTCTCTCTCTCGCTTTTCCTCCCTCAGTCGGTTTTTGTCTGCTTCAACTTCTGTTAGAGACTTCCTGCTGTACTGTATGTTTCCCAGAATAACTTTCAACAACCTCAAGAGAAGAACGCTCTCAGTGCTGCATGTAGTCTGTGTAGGTGGGGACAGTGAGCAATGGATATGGTGAAGATTTCCACTCTTGGATAACTACCTGGAATGAGAACAATGTTGCAGTCTGTTTTTGTTTTTTTTTTGCTTTGGAGGGAAAATAATGTTCGAGTCATAAGAATCCAATTGTTTGTTTACTCCAAAATGTTTGTCTTAAATAATTTGCCAACAATCCCATTGTGCCAATGATTGAAATCATTCAAACCTGTTATCAGATTTTTATTTGCCAGTGTTTCGCAGGAAGACTTGGTCCATTTGTGTCCTCTCGAGTGTTTTACTGTTCAAGTTTGTTCTAACATGAAGAGGAAGTTGGAACAACATCAAAAAGGAGAATGCTTTCCAGGATTTTAAACACAGACACAATAAAAAACACAAAAATACATCCTCCTAAAGAGTCTGCACAGGGACAAACATGTTTTCTGAAGCTTTGTGTGTCAGATGAAAGAGGAAGAGTAGTTTGAACACACAAAATACAATCTGTGTATGCTGCTAGGTATCAGGTCTGGGAATCTTTGGGTGTCTCACAATTCGATTTTGATTCTTGGGGTCATCACGATTCCATTCAGGATCTATTTTTGATTCAAAACGATTCTGGATTCATAATTCAAAGTCTATTTTTGTACATATTTCAGGTTCTACTCCAGTCATCCATTTGGCATTCATCCCCCCACCTCTACTTGGATATACTAGGTATGGACATATTAGGCCAAAACACTATTAGAAAGTCCCTGGGATCTATTTGAAGATTCTTTGATCACTATTATTCATTTTTCATTTTGATAATTAAACTAAAGCTCAACGCCTTTTAATGTGCATATCAGTTTCTGACTTTTCAAACTTCATAACATCCCCTATTGGTTTTTTTAAGTAAATTGAGAAAATTGTACATTATTAGCGGAGGTCTAAACTCCCCCTTTATTCTTCAGTTACTTATATGTCAAGAACAGTTGTTGAAATGTCTGTATATAAACATTGATTTTAGTAGTCTTTAAGATCATCAACATCAGCTTTTAGTGTGAAAATGTAATAGATTACTTTAAATGTTTTGTGTTTAAAACAAGTCAGAAACCCTGAGATATAACATTTCATACATCCTACAGACAAATGATGGCCTGGTTTGCAGGGGGGGGTCTCGAGTGCTACTACAGTACATCTCCAGAAGTATTCCAGAAATTCCAAACCCAGTGGGGAGCCTGTTAAATTGGAAATGATGTCTGTATTCACAATAAAGACAGTGTAAACATTGGACTTTGTGTAAGTGAACTTGGCACTGAGGAATGTGGAGGAGAGAAAGAGGAAGTGTCCGTCTGTGTTTTCTGTCTCGTTCAGCACTTCAACTCATTGTGAGCCGGCAGACGAGAGTTCAAGTGTCACAGTGGAGGACAATTAAAGAGAACGACCGTCTCTCTGATCGCTGGACCACAGAGCACTCGGGAAAAGAAAAAAAAAACAGTTTGATTGCTAATGACCTTCCAATTATTTCTTGTTTATTTTAGAGTGACATAATGGTCTGTTTTGTTATAAACTGTCAGGACAGAATCATACAAACATAAACACATGCTTTGTGTTCAAAGTGATAGTTATTCATTCTGTTTAAGATTTTTTTTTTTTAAAGGAAGCGATGCTCACTCATTTGACCTCTTGTGAACCTTGATGTTTGCACTCCTGTTCTTAAAAGAGGAGTTTTCTTGCATCGGTTCTTTAGTTATTTTAGGTTATAATGGCATAGAATTTTACCTGCAGGCCTTAAATAACACTTCAATTTAAAACTACAAAAAACCTATAATCCACTGTGACTCAGAGAGCAAGAGCACTTCTTTGTGTTCTTTAGGAGAAGAGTAGGGCTGTGACTGACGATCACGATAATAATCGATTACTTTTACGATTTCCTTCTTGATTGCTTGGCCCGGTTATCCTCAGCTCGTTAAGGCTCGTTGTTGTGTCAGGTCCTCATCTCTCTGTTCCTCTCTGCCTGCGGGGCACACACATCTCTCCTCGCTCCTGCTTGTATTTTGACTGACTAAGACGCACAGTGGGGAATATATTATGGATAAATGTCCGACAGTTCACCCCTTGTGTTTTAATCCCGCCTCGCCTCGGTAACAGAAAGGAAAATGTATGTTTTGTCTTTGTTTTTATGATTAAAGATCTATTTTTAAGCTCCCTGACACATCATCTTTGTTGTGGAAAAACGGTTATTGATGAACATTTCTTCTCATATTTTTTGTGAATCATTACATTTCATCCATCATTGTAGTAAATGCTCTTTAAATACAGCACATTTAAAACACAGCTAAAGCTGACCAAGTGCTATACAACACCCCACTCAACTGTTTTGAGTGTGACAGAGAGCGACACAACAAATAGATGAACAGATTTGTCGCCAAAACTTTTTAATTATTGATTTTGATCGATTAGTTGTTGCAGCCCTGGAAAATAGCAAGAGCAACAAGATGAAAGCATAGAGACGCAGCTAGTTAGCTATTTAAAGAGTCAAGACAGGTAGATAAGAATTTAAATGTAGTTGAAACTTACTCGCATAGAAGGATCCCATTCTCCAAACCGCCTCTGAAATCTTTGTCACCAAAGCAGCGTCCTGTCACAGCCTACAGTGAGAGAGAAAAAATCTGTGAGTTAGCAAAACAAGACCACATGACGGGCCAAGAGAAGAAAACAGAGCCTCAAAACATTAAGTCAGTCTTTGAATCTGAAGTCTGGACACGTCAGGTCCTCTTGGAAACCGAGAAACAAGACCAACAACCTTTATCAACACTCCTTTCACGTATTTCCTCCACAGTAAATCCCTGGAATGGTGCGGAGCGGTGCACAAAGAGCTGCCGTCCATACATCAAGTGCCTCTGGTTAACAGAGCTAAACACTAACAAGCTTGACATAAGCCGCAATCATGCCGACCAAATGGCTCTGGCAGCCTAATATGTTGTGACAGGGGATTTATTGGGTAATAGTAACTTAGACCCTCTGAGGAGAGGGAAGCTGCCTCTTTGCATGAATCTGCATGACTACGGTGCATCATCCGGCATGCATGCTATTCTCAAATCCATGTAAATACTTTGTACTTGTTGCAAAACACCGGGGCTGCAAAACCTGTTGATTTTCCACAAAGCAACAATCGTTTGCGGCAAAGTTTACGAGACAGATAGCTGAATTTTGATCTTTCACCTTGTATTATTAAAGAGAAGATTTTTTTTTGGTCAACATATAAAGTTCTCTACTAGGAAATGCACAGAAATGCATACAAAATCCACAAAGGCATGTGCATTCATGAAAAGAGACGAAAAAAAAAACAACCTTTTTAATCAAAAAGGTGTAGGCTGAAGCTTTAGCTTATTATACCTACCCTTGTTACAAGACACTACTAGTTTTGTTACAAAAAAACAGAACATATCCGAAATATGACGTTGCAAGTAAACAAACAAGTAAACAAACACTGAAATAATTGCTTCCCACTCCAGAACATCTCTGGTTGCAGGACTTTTAGGGATAAAATCCATTTATTCTCGCAAACACAGCCAGGTTTAGCCATAAAAAGGGAGGCGGACCCCTTTGGACTGCTGGTTTGAAAGCCAAAACACTTACAAGATTAAATTTCCTGAGACTTTCTTTCACATTTATTTGCACAGCTGTGGAAAAAAAAGTGTGGCTATGTAGAGTGTCTGGCCTGGGTGTGTGTTTCTGTCAGCTTCTTGGCTCGTCTGGGAGCCTGGACACGATACAAAAGAAGTGCTCTGCTGTATGTCAGCGTAGGGCGACACTATAGGCCTCCTTTCTGCTGCTGGGTGGGGTTGTGGCAGCGAGTTAGACTGAGTGGCAGATACAGACAGACAGTAGGAGAAAAGAAAGTGGCAGAGATTTCCCCGCTGTATTCTGACATTCGGTTATTCACTGCCTCTCTTCAGAACTGCAGCAGGACTGTGACGAGACTAAACAGGGCGATGTGTGCCTGGTGTGTTGACAGCACAAAAGTGATGATTGCAGCCCAAAAGAAATCTGCCTCACTGTTGAAACATTTGGTCTAGAAAACATATTTTCTATGATTACAGTAAATGGACCAACTCTGTAGGAAGATAGAATTATAAAAACAAACATGACAACATTTATTCTGACAAATAGAGTTATCTATTTTCATTCCTTTTGTCCCCCACAAAACAAACATGACTGAGGGTCAGGTTTAAAGACAAGTTCAACATCCAAAGCTAACAAAATGCCTACTAGCTGCTAATTTTACATGTTTGTTTATAAACATGAACAAAAAGCTCATTTGAGAAAATACTATTTATCTGTTTACAGCACACTTTGGACAGGGCTGTGGTAGCTGTACCTCTAGTTTCAAGACTCCATGCTATTCAACCAACACATGGGTTTAAAATCTCTTTTCTCATCGAACTAAAGGTGTAGAAAAAAGCTAAGGAGCACAAATCACCAAGGTGTCATATATTGGTTCAAGGATCTACTATTGGAGAGCTGTTGTTGATAGTGAAGTAAGCTTGTTAACACAGACAGCCTAATGTTAAAGTGCATTTCCTCCGGTTACAGAAATAGCCTGTCTCCTTCGCAGGGCAACGTGTGCATCAGGCTAAAGTTGGCCAGACAAACCGCTTTGGCTCCGTCTATTGAGGTTTAATTTAATCAACGAGATTAATTGATTCTCTAGATCTGCCCGCAACAAATGTAAAGACGTGAATCAAAAATGTCAATCTTACCTAAAAAGCTGTTCAATGACGATAAATTATACATCCTGCTATTGGGGAATGGTTTGTCACTTGACCTTTTAAAATCTCACATTCAAATTCTACAGTTTTGTACATTAGATAACATGATCCCCATTCTCTGGGTTGAACCAGCTGAGTAAGTTCAGATGTTTACTGTAACATCTCTTAAGCATTAACCACAAGTACTTTCTTCAACTCAGGTACTTCACTTCCCTTTTTGGATAAAAGCTGTGTTTATTTTTTCTTCTCTTTGGCAGACCCAAGGTTACAACATCAAACGGAAGAAAGGAACTTGTTACAGATCTTTAAAGTTATTGAAGACCGCAGAGTGTGAGTGTCTAGAAATCCCAGGTGTTGCACATTGGAGAATAGCATCACTGCTTTTGTTGAAAGACATCTCATGCTCTGATCCCATTTAAGATTAAATGGCCTAGATACTTTTATATCTGCAGCTGGGTGGCTGACCTTGATTTAGAAGATGCTCAATAAATGTGTCACATGCAATGCTAGTACTCAGCCGGCTAAAAATGTGTCACCTTTTATATGAAGCCTTCTATGTCCCTTACCATATTGCAAGTTTGGAAAGCTTTTGGCTCTTTGCATGAAACAAACAAACAAACATGGTGATGTTTACAATGGTTGAACTTGTGTGCCCAGAGTTACAGAACTGTGTCTTTAATAACTAGGTCAGCTCTTCGCTAACCTTACCAGTGAGTGTGAGTGTGAGCTGGGAGATTAACGAGTCACACCACCTTCACATGGAGCGATTACTGTGTCACTCACCACCTTTAAAAAGATTCAACAAAGTGTCAAAAAGGGGCACGATTAGACAGAAAATACAAGATAAGATAAGATAATCCTTTATTTATCCCACAATAGGGAAATTTACATTGTTACAGCAGCAAAGAGCAAAGATTGCAAACAAAAAGTGACCACAGTACAATTTAAATAAAAAAAATAAAAAGTAAGAATGTACAAAAAATAGATACAAAAAATAATATAAAAAAAAAAATAAAAAATAAAAATAAAAATAAAAATAAAAATAAAAATAAAAATAAAATAAAATAAATAAAAATAAGTGTTACTATCTTTAAAGTCAAGAAAAGATGAAGGAAAAGGTATGCATATTAATGAAGCTTATAATTCTAATATGGCTGTGTTTAAATTAAAGGATCCAATTGGAAACACAGACAGATCATTCTCTCCTGAGAGTGAAGAGCTGTATCAAAATTAGTGTTATGGCCTCTCATTGGGCAAAAAACTCCACGTGGAGATCAGCGTCTGAAAGGTTAGGTCAATTAGTATTCCGTTCTTATGAGTTCCTCCACATTAACATGGAATTGCACATTTCTCCCCTGGCTATGACAAAGGTCTGAACCGCAGAAAAAAACAGCGAGGATTCAGTTTTTCTCATTATCCTTCAGCTCAGTTCGGCCATGACTGCAGAGCTTGCTGAGGACCTTGATTCATGTACATCTGCTGCTCCCATAAGTGTCATCCAGAGCTGAAGGGTGTACGCGAAACTCTGAGCCAGACCAGAGGGAGCACTTAGTTTAGCACACACGTTTGGGCAACATATAACACAGAATCAGGGTTTTTCTATTAACGAATGCTGAGTGGAGGAGGGGTTACACAAACATGGACTGTAATAGAATACAAAATGAGCAGATTTGATGGCGGGCTTAGCATGTGGGTAGAAAGCATTACATGGTGGCTGGCTAATAACACTGTACACCTCCTGAGTTACAGCTACAGTAACACGGCTATAAAATTGAAGTGCCATATTCCTTTCACATGGAAGTGTTGCTTGTTGTAGGTTTATGACATGGTACTCTGAAAAGCATTAAATGTCCCTTAAAGAGGTCATTAAACGCTGAATTAGACACCCCACCTGCATGTGATCAAGTTAAGGAGCTGCAGAAGACCACCCACACTAATGTATTACTGCTCCTCACTACAAAAAACAACACATGGATTAACATGGCTTACCTAACATGATATGAAGGATGCTCTCGGGGGAATTACAAAATATGTCCAATGAGATCAAATTCAATAATCCTTTTAGTTATGTTAGGCATGACACTACAGAATCCAATCTAAGTGACATTTGCAAATAGGCTTACATGCTGTTGAATGTGCTGCAGCTGAGCATGTCATTAGCTATGTATCCTGTAAACTGACTCTACTGACTGCAATGTACTGTTCAATAAACTATCATGCAGGGCGTTTTGCGTGTTCATGTTTGTGGGTTAGATAAGAGGGAGGCTTTGAAGGGCTCGGCGATACATCAAGTTTTTAAGATACGGTCGAACAACATGGGTAAGACAATAATGTTTATATCAATATAGTTTATTTTGCATTCAAATATCTTTATAAGTGTCTTCCGTAGAGCTACCAGGTCACCCATTTTACATTATATTTGTCATTTTTTATGTCCGTGTTGATGTTGTGCAGCAGACACATTTGGCGTTTGGCCCATGTGGATTTGACTTTGAACTGACTTTGATTTTATCATTTCTTCACAGAAAAAAAGAACTATAGAGTATCGCCCTTCAGCTTAACAATACTGAGATATGAGTTTTGTTCCATATGGCCCAGCCCTAAGGCTTTGGCAGGAATGCTAAGCCATTACGCTACTACTGTCTGCAAGATTTGACTGGGTGAACTGAAATAAGTCTTAGTCTAAGGAAGAGGATACCTACCAGTATACAATTAAAAAAATATGCGAAACTAGGATTGATAAAACAAAAGAAATAATTTCTAAGTCTGATTTTTTATCCAAGACAAATCATTTTTAAAAAGCGTTGGGACTACAAACAACTGAAAGATGCACACTTAAAATGCTGGAAACTGCTTGGATCTCAACAGTGTTTATG